AAATGACCTCCTCAACTTCATCTGACGATCTGAACCATTCGAAGAACTGAATAAGGTCGGTCTCTGTCCAGCCATGTTCATTGTGTAGTTGATTGATGAAGAATTCGAGCTGCTTGTTTAGCCTGGGGAAGTGAGTGATGATCTGTGCCAAGAAGGTCGCGATCAAGTCTCTAATAGAGTCGCACCGGACGTCCCATCGGTCAAAGGAAAAGTAGAGCACCAAGCTTCGTCTCCGAACATCCTCAGCCTCTGATTCGAGAGAGTAGAAGACTTGCTCAGCTACCTCCCGAACACGATGGTTTCCATGGATGTAGAGAATCTTAGGCTCCCGATGGCTGAGCCAGGCCTGGTACTCGGGAAGGTCCTTGAGGATGTTGGAAGACTCTCCAGTCTTGAGTGGATAGACAGGAGAGGCGAGGGCGAGGAGACTCCGCTCTTGTATGTACTGCTTGTCTTCCAATGTAGGGTTGATACCTGAGCAAAGGTAAGCGTGCTGGCCGACGTGAAAAGCAGGTTCACGAATCCTTGATGTCGGGTTAAAGTGAAGGGAAGGGGTAGGATATGGCGAATCCTCAGTTGAGCTCACAACACATGACGGGGCCGTAGCCTCAAGCACCACCGAACCAAAATTGGCATATGAGCCATTGCAACAGGAATTGAACTTACTGCTATCAATCTTGTTGATGTAGGTCTTGAGGTCGGAATATTTATTGTCGCTAGGCTCGGGAAGACGTCTTTCCAGGGGAATGCCCAGAGTAGCACTGTAGTTATCAAGGGCCTGCCCAAGCAAGTCAGCAAAGGGCTGTTTCCAAGGCACCCACTGAAGAGAGACTCGCATGGCAAATCTTGGAGTTTTCAGTTCCTTCAGAGTAAAGACTGATGACTCTGCTTCGCAGGGGGACCTTGGACTCGGCGAATAGGCCGTTGATTTCGATGACGGCATCTGCAAGCCCTGGTATGGATGGCACTGAAGGTCGAACTTTGGATTCGTTGTGAACATAGTTAGTGAATAGGAACTGTGTGAGTCTGTCTTCCATATCGGTCTTGTTGAAGCTGCGATGGGGACAGCCTAGGAAGACCTGTAGTAGGTTAGGGCTTTGCTCTGCACTCTAGATGCAATACTAACTTACCACTAATCGGGACATTTCCGAGATTTCCCTCCAGCGATACCCTTCAAGAGCTGCCAAAGCGAGGGCCTGTGATCATAGTCAGGTTTGTTATGCCATGGCTTGAATAGAAGGGGGATGAACACCCACATCTTTAACTATGATGCCTCCAATGTCGTGACAAACAAAAAAGATTCGCCGTTTCTAAGATGGATCAACATTCAAGTCCTCATGGAATTTCAGGGCCACAAACATGTTGTGCATTTCGACGTCTCGCCTCGAGAGCCTGCAACAACTTGAGGGCCATCTGGCGGATCGACTGGCGAGACTGGAGGCCGCGAAAGAGCTGTGAAGCATTGTACTGGTAGGTGAGGACCCTGCATTTCGATGATACACGCTTCATCCAGATGGGGTCTTCTGCGGTTCGCCTCCCAGCAAATCTGGACACCCAGGCCGAGCTCCCTGAGCCAGGACATTCTCCAACGTGAGCATCCCAGTCCCCATAAACTCCAGGGACGATAACATAGCTGGCAAGCTTCTGTCAGGAAGCCCTTGCTCGAATGGTCTGGGGAACTCACTCAATGGCCAAAGCTCCCTCGAAATATGGGCGTGGCACAGTTTCTTCCACGTCTTCTGGCTTTTCTTCCCATGAAACGTGAAGGGGTTCAGCTTCTGGGTCAGGGGCTGAGTCTGAAGATGGGGTGGTTTTTGAGCCGGAATCATCGCTGGCTGGTATGACCTCTGTCTCTACTTTGTCGTCATCTTGTTGATCGTGGTTGTCGCCAATGATTGTTTCTTGAACTGGTTCAGTTGGTGGCTCTGGAGAAGGAAGTCGGGACACCTCTGAAGCAGCAGAGGAAGCCGCCGACTCCGAATCCGAGTCTGAGCCAGGCATCGTGTTTTGTGTTGAAGGTCTACGATGGCATTTAAACGAAGGAGTCCGGCGATTATGCACTCCAGTAGATGTCCAGTATGGACAGTGAATGATGTGTTGCGTGGTCGAGTAAGGAACCGTGAATAGGCGATGCTCCGAGCCGTGTGACCAAGGCAAGGTTTCCCGTCTTCGCAAGATAATCTCAACGAGATTGGAACTGAGGGGAAAGGCGCAGCTGAGAGCCAAGGTGCGCTTGGTATGCAGAGTAAGTGCCCATGCCGCAGTACCGCATACACAGCGAGCCCTGGTAAATACTGAAACAGTTGGCTATTTTCAACCCTGTTGCTTGCCAATCTACAGTGGCGTGACACGATCGCAGGGGTTGCAGTTGGATTGGGGGCTAAATCCGTAAACTGGTGATGGGCGGCCCCTCATATTGACGGGATGTGGGAATGGAGGGCCTGGTGATCAAAGGCACAGCCAAGGCAACAGCCAGAAAAGGTATCCAGCCCGGGCGGGGCATCCTTGTTCATACGCAGGGCTGAAGGCATAAAGAACCATGATACTGGTTCTTTGCTCGGCTGGGGGATATTGACTCCTCAGCGAGAACATCATGAGCGACACCGAGACAAAGAGCAACAACAGCTACGATGGGGAGAGCGATGACGACATTGAACTGCCCGAGGACTCGGACTGGGACGAAGACGAGACCAGCATCAGTATCGGACTGAACAAGAAGGGAGAAAAAGGCAGCGGCTATCGCACCCGAAACGACCCTTCAGCACCCTTCCAAAGAGCGACAGTGACTGAACGTCGAGGCATCATCCAAGTGCGATGCAAGTCTCGGGAGGTCATTCATGGAGGCTTATCACTCGACTCTGGAGAGAACGCAACTCTTCTCGTCTACGACTTGTACCTGGACACGACCAAGAGATCTCGAAGAATTCTCTCGGCCACGCTCGAGTTCGAGTTCAGCAGCAACGTCCCTGGGGTTCGAGCACCCGAAGTCCAAGCAATTGCCCCCGCCGGCCGCATCACATTGCTGTCTTCAACTCAGGAGGAGTCGCTCACTCGCGGGGCTAAAGTCAACGCGGGAGTCAGTCAGTTTGCAGACATTGGTGGTGAAGTAAAGTGGGAGAAGACGATCAGTCGTACTACCAGCGATGACGCTCGTGTAATGGGACACATCTTCAGCGACGATTATGGAAGAGGAGTAGGCGCCAGCTGGGTTCTTCACGAGAACAGTTCCATTCGATCAGGGACGCCGAGCTTTATGCGCTGCGCCATCTTGCTGAACAGGAAATACGACGAGGAGAGTTTTGAGTGCAAGATAACGATCAACGCGGAAGCAGACTGGAAGTCGGAGATGGGCAAGCTGTTTGGGTCAACACCAAAGGACGACCCTATCCTGTTTGATCCGACTCTTCCGCCGACCAACAAGTTGCGCAAGGAGTACGACATTGAGAACTTGGGGGCCGTTGATCTGGATGGTTTCGTCGATATCGTGTTTGACAGGACCTTGAAGAAGAAGGTCAAGGACGCAGCCTGATAGAGAGGCCCGTAGCACAACCAATTAGTTGAAGCGAGCAAGCGCTGATATGCAGCTCTCCGCCCACTGAAGCGAAGTTGCATCGACCCATGTCTACAGGGCTGAGGCATCCTTGCCAGCTGACCTCGAGATCCCTGTACAACCAGACCACTGTTGGGCGAGAAAATGCTTCTCTGTGAACGAGGGGGAAGACGTTGCATTGGGGGCCAAGGACGAGGTCGAGAGAGGGTCGTGGACGGAGAAACCGGTGCTATTCCTGAGATGTAGTCGCGTCAAGTCCATCATTCGATCAATTGCCTTTTCTCCGTTCTTTTAGTGACCCGTTGTACGTTGAGATACCTCAGACCACACTACCATGAGTCCCGCAGCCGATGATGATGATCACTTTGACGATCTTGGACCAGCAGAGTCTGACACGGAACAGGCAGAGTCCAAGGCGGGGGATGATTCAAGTGAAGATGACTCTGAGAGTGACGACGAGGATCGCCACAGAAAGGTCTCGGTAAAGGACCTCCTGGACGATGTCCTGAAAAAGATCAAGAACGGGAAACTCGACCTCACAAACAGGGAGGACTACATCAACTTCACAAATAGCGATGGGGAGCTTCTTGCGGCTGGCACTGGAGACCAGCGTGTGCCAACTGCACTACACATAATGGCCACGATGGACAAAAAGGAGCTCCCAAAGCTCGACAGCAAGATGCAGCCACTCATCGAGTTCCTCGCAAGTCGTCGAGATTACCTCAAGATCCAAGATCGATCAGGCCACACGTCATTATCTCTAGCCATCGAAGCAAAAAAGGAAAAGATGGTGCAGTGGATGTGTGATGCTCATCCAGACATCAGCTCCATCCTCTCCATCCCGAGCAACGACTTGATGAATTGCCTTCACGTCGGCGTTGACAAGAGAGTCAAGTTCCTCGATCTCCTCGTAGACAGAGCAGATCCCCTCACGCTCGCGGCCAAGGACGCGAACGGGAACACGCCACTGCACATCGCAGTCGAGTACAAGAAGTGTAGGCGGGAGCAGCTGACAATCATTAAGCGCATCGTCAACAAGAGCGACCAGGCCATCCTTGAGGGTCCTCCCCTTGGTGACTTCAACAAGGAGGGCATGTCACCTTATCTCCATCACAAGGAGACAAAGCGAAAGGCTCGGGAGAGGGAGAAGAGGAAGGCTAGAGAAGAGAGCGAGCGCGAAAAAGGCAGCAGTCGCCGTACAAACCCTGGCAATGCGGATGAGCCGAGCAGAGAAATGAGACCGGATCAGAGAGGCACCATGTCTTCATCAGGTTCACGAGTCCATGGACCTGATTCTGGGGTTCCAGACGGGCGACTCAATCAGCAGCTGGATTCCCGTACCAAGTATGGAGGAAGACCAGTTCCGAACCCATCAGGGATGAACTCGCCCATCATCACCACAGCACCAAGTCTTCCATTGCCTGAGGAGAGGAAGAAGTCGTCTCGTTCCATGGAAAGTGAGAAGAAAGACGGGGCTGACAGTAATCACAAGTCTTCTTCCAAGGTGGACGAGGCGACTGTGAAAGCCGTAGAGCGTTTCTTGAAACTTCATTACCTGCGCTCTCGGAGCTATGGAGTGGCCATGGAGATTCTGTACGGGCGCAACACGACATCAGGTCAGATATTGGTTCACATATGAAAGCACCATCACAAAAAGCTAACGTTTCTCAGAGCAAGAACTGTACTTTGACTTGACAGGTGATGTCAACAGCGGAACCATCACCCAAGCAGGTCTCGAGAACCTTTTATCCAAGCTCAAGTTTGAGGATATTCTTCAATACGTCGCCATACCCAAGCTCAGCGTACAAGTAAACCGAGCCGGCGAGCGATCAGGTAGTCGAAGATCAGCCAAGCCAGACGGAGCTGGTAGACGGGACTTGTGCTACGTGTTTGATCGTTTGCGCAAGAAGGGGGTCAAGACCATCCTCAAGGTCTTTATCGACGACTCATCCATGCCGGCGCATAGTGATGAGGCTATCGAGGATGCACTCAAGTCTATGGACGTTGAGGTTTGGGATTGGAACAAGACCGACTTGTGTACCGAGGTGATTTACAAGGTTGCCCCGAAAGCACGCGAAGTACACCTCTACTGGAGTGGAAATAATGCTGTTCTAAGAGGATGGAGTGAAGAGGGAGGTTTGAAGAAGTTGCGAAGTCTGAAGACGGTGCATCTTCACATCCAACAAGTAAATCTCCCCGATTCTCAATTCAACATACCCATCTAACATCACCAGGGCCTCGAATCCAGCTCTCGCACACAGCAAAACGTCAAAGAGTTTCTCGAACGCATGAAACGCCTCATGCCCGACGTCAACGTCTTCAAGGACGGACCCGTCGTCCGCCGCGGAATAGCTGATGTCAACACCACCCGAGCCGAAGACCAAGCCGAGCACTCCAACAAGCATGAGTGGATTCAATGCATGAAAGAGTTCCGCAGACTTCTTTTCGATGCCGAGAGGTACTACGATCGTGGAAAGATTGAGGAGAGCATTGAAGAACCCATCAAGATTGCTTTGATTGATGATGGCGTGGATATCAAGGATCTCGAGTACTCGTTTATCGGTGGGCGAACGTTTTGCAAGCGTGACCCTGAGCACAACTTGAACGATCCTTATTATGTGTCTAGTACTGGACATGGGACTATCATGGCAAAGCAGATTCATCTGCTGTGCCCTCGAGCACAGTTTTATGTGTTGAGGCTGGAAGATCATCCTTCGGATGAATCAGCACGGCAGATTACTGCAAAGAGCGCAGCACAGGTATGTGAATCATTGCATCCTTTAACCCAATGCGCCAGAAACTAATCATTTCCCTAGGCTATCCTTGCGGCGGTGAGAAAAAAGGTGCACATCATCTCCATGTCCTGGACCATCGATCCCCCTGAAGACGAAGAGGAAAGGCGAGCTCTTGAATCCGCTATCACAAAAGCAGCCAGCGCCGACATTCTCATGTTCTGCTCAGCTTCAGACCAAGGAGCCAAGCACGTTGCCACTTACCCGTCCAAGGCAACGCCCAAGATCTTCACTATCGGCGCGGCCACAGCTTCAGGGACCGTCGACAGTTGGGTTGGCAACATTAACAACATCAGCTTTACCTTCCCCGGCACCAAAGTCGAGCTTGACGGTGGACCTATCGACACTGCTGTCAAAGAAGTTACAGGTTCTTCAGTAGCTACGGCTTTGGCAGCTGGTCTAGCGGCATTAATTCTCTACTGCGTTCAAGTGCGAATCCTCCTCGCCACAGATCCTGTAGAGAAACAAAAGGCCCGCAGAGACTTTCAGTCGCTTCAGAAGCACGAGAGCATGATGAGGGCGTTCAAGGATATCGGGACGACGGAGGAGAGTAATCACAAGTTTATTGCCGTGTGGGAAGTGTTTGGGAAGAGGGTCGAGGAGAAGGAGAGGGTTGACCAGGAGGATTGGATCAACTTGATTGCCAAGGTTGGAACGACGCTTTGTATGAAGGTTTAATTATGCCACTTTTTATGCCGGTTCAGCAGGCACTACGGCTTGGGGGGTGGCCCTACAGTTGTATTAATGGGGGTTGCATCACCGCGGAGGACGGCCTCGACTCGTCATGTCGAGAGACAAGGCTCCCAGTTCAAGTTGACTTTAATGAACCAGTTCTGTAGGCCCTCAGGATCATATCTGGCCACACATTTAATCGGGTGTGGTGGTGCTGGATATTCGTTTAGTCGACTGGAGGGTCAATGGTATCACCTGGTGAGCGCGGATAATTTGAGCCGCAGAGTCCCATCCAAAGCGACAGTGAGAAAGACCAAGGAATGAGAGTGCTACAGAATGAGTACTGTACGCCTCGAGTACTGAGCCGAGAGCTGATCAGGAGGTATCCCTTGAGGAAGGTTCCTCCAGTTCATATAGCCCACTCGGTAGAAGGTCTGCTGTTCCAGGGGCTGATACAGAACCAGCCCCCTGAACCGGAAATAGGAGACGTTTCCTCGATCAAGGAGCAGTAGAAAGAAAAATCGTCCCTGTGCGTCTTTCGGGTGCATCACCTTCCTAACGGCTTCGTTCCTCACCCAGTGATCAAAATCTCTGAGGTCTGGCTCGCTCAGATGCGACATGATTTCATCGTCCTCGGCGTGCTCATCCAAGAACAGCTGTACGCCCAGGTGCGGATCTCCAACGACCAAGAATTCGCCCTTGGTTGAATTTTCGGCGCCGTATACATAATTAACCTCGAAAAGATAGCCGCTGATGTTGATGACGCCGCCCGCTGAAAAGCCGTCCATGCCCTTGTTGCAGAATGGCGAGATTCGTTCGACCGAGGCGTAGCATGATTCCCGAAGTAAGTTGGAGTACATAGAAATATGAAAGCCTCCCGCAAGCGAGGTCCAGCTCCAAGACGGCCCGGCGTAGACAGCTAATCGTTGTGCAGGCGTAACAGTTCTCCAGCATAGCGCTGCGGGCAGATGACAACGCCATAGACCGGCCATGTACTCATGAATAATCCCGCGCGGCTGGCCGAAAGATTGTACGATGCCGGAGAAGGCTACCGGACGGTCGGTTTCTCTGGTCAAGTTCGTCCTGGTATACCCCTCGACACGTCCGTTCCACTCATTCAGGTCGTCCGAGTGGGTTGGTGTGGTGGCATCCTTCAACGTTCTGGCTTCTTCCCACCAACTCCCACCTGGAACCTTGGGTACCCCGGTCGGCCGTATCTCGCAGGCCAATTGTTGCCGGCAATGCCACCAAAGTTGGTGGCTGCCAAGAATAAGGGAGCGTTTCGACAGGTACCATTCCTGGTATACCCAGGCGCGAGAGCGCAAGGTACAGTAGATAATATCCTCATTGAATAGATTCTCGTGGACTAGCTGAAATTTCTCACCTTGAATAATAGTACTCTCGGGCTGTAGAAGCTTTGGACTTCTGGCAGTGAAGCTACTGCCGGCGCTATCAGATGCCGTGGCAGAACACAAATTAAAGGCCGCGTGTTCGTAGACGAGCTTCATATCCTTGGCTTCCCGAGCCCAATCCTCGGTGGAGTCCTGAATAATACATAGTGAATCTATCCATATATAATGGAACCCCATCTGGAGACATAGACGGACTGCCTCCTGGTAGGTATTGGGAAGCTGCTGAAGATCAATTTTAGCGCCAAGTTGAGCAAGGTTGCCGCACAAGAGCTTGATTGCGTCGACTTTTCCCCAGCAGTGAGAAAAGGCTACGTATGCTACTGAACCGGAGGGCTCTGCGGCTGTCAGGACGAGTCTGAGGTGGTTGGTGTTAATAATGTGGATTAATCTGGTTGGGCGATATGCCGGGTCGAGTATTCGGCAGTCGTCATGCGTGTCGCAGCAGGTCTTGAGCCATGCTAATGCGAGCTCAGCGAGAGCTGGGTCGTCGATCGAACTAGCAGGCACATAATGCTGGACGATACAACTGGGGTCTAAAGCGATCAGTAGGAGAATGCATGAGAGGGGCCAACGTTGCGATACCTGGTTCCCTCCACAGCTGAAACGTCCAACAGTATCCCCGAGCCCGTGTCCCGATGACTAGACCACTCCGAATACTGTCATGGTCAGGGCTACGAAGACTAAAATAGCATTCGAACGTGGCTGAGCGGCAAAGTGACAGTTCCGAACGCCATGTCTCGCTGAGCTGAATCGTTCCGCATACATAGCATCCACGGCCTGCGGCGATCTCTAAATCGAAACCGCTTTGGTGGTGAGGGATAAAACCGTCCCGTTCGCCTGCTGTCACGGCCCTCTTGCACACAGCGCACAGGGTCGAGTCCATCTCCATGGGCTCTATAGGAGAAGCGAGTACACAACTCTTCTCATTGGATACCGTTGCCAATGGAAACGAACGCAAGACCGAAGCAAGAGTGAAAAGAACGAGACTTGAGGTTGATTTAAAAGGATGTTGTTCAGACTAATGGAAGTTGGGGGCTTGACATACATAATCGATAGAACTTGGTGCGAGAAGTGAGACTTTTGTCCACTTACCGCGCGCCATGTGGCTTCCATTGAGCCTGCCTGTTGCACTTGGGCGTCAAGATAGAAGACGACTGCACTTTTTGTGTAGCAGTGTGCCATATGGGAATGGGATATCGTCTTTGTCAGGCAACGCCATGTTGCACGAATGTCATCTACGTTGAAGAGACTCGCTCAGAGTATAACCGTATTCTTCTGTCAAATTTGGGCAAGTGTTTGGGGCTCGGGATGTTTTCGACAGGCATAAATGTCTCTGTACCAACTCGGCAATACGAAGGCTATGGAAGCTCATATAATGGTGAGGCGAGGTTTGCTCGAGAGATGTGTCCCAGGGCGATACAGTACCCGCCAAAGGTGCCCAGAAAGCAGAGAGGGGTAGAATAATATCAAGAGCAACATGATTAAAGTAATCCAGCCCCTAAAATCGGGACCATGGTCTATTTGGCTGGTTCTCAAGCCGCCTCACCGTTACGTAGTACAGGATGGGATCTTCGCCCAGGTTCAGTCTCCCAAACCCTCTTAGCTGGTTACTACACACCTTTCATTGCCCCCTCAGAGGTGAAGTATTCATAATTACGCTTCACAAATCACGGCCAAAAGATTGATAACCTATGATGGTTTCTCTACTTGACTCCAAACTTGACCTTGGTTCGAAATACCATTGGCCTACTGCTGGGCTGTATCAACAGTCGCATTATTCCCTCCCACTAGTAGCCCTTTCCCGGCCACCGCAAGATTCCCAGTATTCATCGAGTTTCTCCTGGTTATGAACCTTTATATCGCTTTTAGTGATATAACTATATGCTTCACAGCCCATTTTAGCATCGGCCCATTTGATAGTAAGATGAATTGTGTTGTCTATGACTTCATGGTCGATGATTCTCATGGTTTTATAATCTTCATTTGAGTCGAGGGATCCAGTACTACCTGTATCAAAGCCAGTTAGCATATTAGAATCGCTAGTCAACATCAGGGTCTATTTCTCGCGTCGAGGAAGGGCAAAGGTATGTTCGTCGAAGCTGGAAACCAGGTGACAAAAGTGAGTAGCTTAGAGGGTGTTACCTTGAGACGTAGACATGTTGGGTGCTCCGGTCGAGTCGGTCTTGGTGGCATGATGTGTTCTTCGTAATGACCAGCATAGGTCTTGTATTGAGCCTGGGCAATAGTTCTTCTCATAGTGTGTCGAGAATAAGGCGGGAGGCCGCAATTTTGTATGCCCAGAATACTATAAATCACGGTAGAAAGTTAGGCAAGAAAATCATATCATGGCTCGACATCGACCGTCGAGGCTATAATAAAGAGACTGGAAACTACAAAATGAGACGAGACGAGACAAGACGAGACGAACCGAAGTGAATCAGTGAGTCCTCAACCAACCCTTATCCAACTAAGAGCTGCAGGGCACAGAACTGACCTGATGTCGGTCGACGCGTTCTTAGTCGGTAACAGAGGAAAAGCATCATGACCAAAACTATAGACAGCATCGGACCCAACGAGTACGACATGGAGGTAGTCAACGACCTAGGTATATCTAATACTAATTAAGCCCCTGATGTTCTAATCAGAATGTCAATGACGCATTCTTGAAGGGAATCAAAGCCAAGATGACCGCCTGGGTATAAAAGTCCGCTCGATCAACAACGCCATCCGTCAGAATTCCAACTGAGCCTTTCTTGTTCTTGGAGTTTGTCTGTCCAAATATCTTGTCGTCTGCATGTCCCAGCTCCACGCCCTGCCTCAACAACTCACACGTCTTCTCCGGCAGAAAGTATCCGGCAGTTCGAGCCCTTCCCAGCTTTCCATTCCTTCCAATGACGACAATCCACGCAAAATTAAAGATTGATCCGTCACGAGGCTCGACTCCTCCCTCGATTCCAACCCAAAAGTCGGCGTCTGGTAGTTCTTTCTGGGCATTTCGTGCCCTGTTTGTTGCTCCGAGGAGGGTTTCTTCGTCTGAAAATGGTTGCTCGGCGACATGAGAGGGAACGCTGATGCCTTGAAAGTCGTACGAGTCTGGTAGTAGTTGAGCGAAGCCTTCGCGAGTTGCTTTTGTTTTGGGGATACTATTGGAAGCGATCACCACAGTTTTCTGAGCAGCGGCCATGTTTGCTGAATAAGAGAAGTTAAAGTCTTGTATGAGAATGTCTTGAGAACTGAGATAGAACTGTGGTATAAGTAAGAATAGATAATGATAAAGATTGAGCGAGTGACTCATCACGCCGAGTGCTGCGGGATTTTCATCTGTGCGGTCCATTCTCCACTCCACGGCCGTACAATCACGTCAGTGAGGCGGTTTGTGAGTAAGTCACAACAACACACTGGATAATAGCATGAGTCAACTAGATAGATGATGATTATTATATGCCTGTTTTTAACATGTGCTTGCTTGCGCCACAAGTATAAACTCCAGTAGCAGACGATAAATTCAGAAGCCATCTTGAAAATCCACATACTTCCAAGCACCAAATCTATATAGTGACAGAATTATCTTGACCAGGGTGGCAACTGTATATGGATGGTTTCTCAAGACAACGTCCGTTCTCATGCCCACGTTCTCAAGATCCCAACACCTTGTCCCAATCTTGCTTCTTCAGCCAATCCGCAACGGTGCCCAACTTGGGAGGCGAGTCCAGCTATAAAATGTTAGAAACTATTAACTAAAAGGGGGCAATCGGTCAACTCACGTCCTTTGGGTGAATGATATCAGAATCATTACTGCCCTCAAGCCCATACTCGTTGGCAAACGCCCAGTTCTCCAGAAGCTCAGGCTTCAAGTCAGGTGGGCAATCAAACCCAAACTGACCCATGGGAAGTTGAACAGTCTTGGCTTTGTAACCAGTCACTTTGTTAAAGATAGCCACAACTTCGCGCAGTGTAAGCCACTCTCTCCATCCCATGACGCTCTTTCCCGGTGCCTCGTTGATCAGAGCCTTGACAATCGGTCCAGTGTCCTCGTCTTGCACGATGAAGGGAAATTTGGCGTCGGGGTTTAGGTTGGACACGAATTCAACACTGCCATCTTCCTTCTATGCGGTATTAGCAACACTCTCTTCGATGCATAACAACTGCCAGAAGTACTAACCTTGGTCGGCTGAGACATTGGGTGATCCGTGAAATTGCTCAAGAAGAAGCCAGCCTTGAAGATGCTAATCTTGGACCACAGATCCGGGTACTTCTCCTTCGCATAGTCCTCCGCGTCGGCCTTGGATTCATAATGGTACACGTGGGTGTATTTGCCGCCGGTCAGTTTCGCCACATGTGGAAGCGACGAGATCACCAAGCGGCTCAGGCTGCAGAGTTTAGCAGCTACGTCAATAGCATTGTTGAGCTGCTGCGTCTCCCGCTCCTTGGCCTGCTCGTTAAGCGACTTCCCAGGGTGTGCGTTGGGTTTCTCGGACAGCTCGTTATAGATGGCCCAGAAATCGCTAACGAGAAAAATAGCATTGGCACCTTCAAAAGCAGGGACGAGAGAGGCGGCATCGTCTAGGTTGGCTTGGACGACGTCGACTCCACGGCCTTTAAGAGCTTCTGCTTTCGGGCTTGACGAGCTGCGGGTGATGCCTCGGACTCGCCAATTAGGTTCATTGAGAAAAGTGTCGACGACGGAGCCTCCTTGGCCTCCCGTGGCTCCGATGACAACAATGAGGTTCTGGGTAGTCATGGTTGGTTGTTGGTTGTTGGATAGCGTTGGTGGTAGTGCAAGTGGAAGCGTATTCAGAGCTGGCTGATGCTGTCCAAACTTTGGTCATTCCCCAACATTATATACCTCTCAAAAACAAGTACTTAGCATTTGATTTCTAATATCATCCCATTATTGTCAAGTAATCACAACGTTAACGGAGCAATATCGTCGTTAAATGCCAAGCCAAGCCCATAACGGCCCCACTAAAGTCCGCTCCGTGGCCGCTCTATATATCCCCCTTCCGCTCCATCCCGCTCTCACTCAGCAACGTCCTCTTCACCTCAAACATCTGCAGCCTCGTTGCAAACATTTTCCGCTTTCCCCTCTTTGTTCATCCTCAAAACCAGACACGTCAACGGAAAGGAGCGCACTCACTCCTCATTCGACATGAACCCCCCCAGGGCCCGTAATGCCTGTGAAGCATGCCGGTAAGTGTCCGCTCAGACTCCCACTTGGCCCGACCGCAGAGCGGGCATACTTGTCCACCTAGGCGATATGGGTACGCGAGTGAATCCGCTGATAACCCTTCCTAGACGTCTCAAGAGAAGGTGTACCAAGGATTGGCCTTCGTGCTCACTCGTGTGTTCCACACCAGCATCTTACACCGTAGACCCGGCCACCCAAAGACTAATTGATGCCCAACTCAGTGTATTCGCCTTGGCAAGGTTTGCGACTATTCCAATCCCCTCTCGACCAGAGCTACAGAAGCTGCAGGCCTGTACCCCCTGTTCGAAAATCCTAGCTGCTTGTTCCCGTCATCCTTCTTCATGGATGCACACCTCTTTGCTCCCTTGAACACCACCAACGCCCTGACAAGGGTCCCTACATCTCGCTTAAAGCTCATCACCTCGGACCACCTTGCCATCGAAGAGCGGGGGGCTCTGCACGAGGAATACTTTACTTCCATGCATCAGTGGCTTCCCATCATCAGCGAGAAGCGACTACTAGATGCCCGCCTTGCCTTGAACGATGCCTGCCACGATCTACTCCTACTTTGCATGAAGCTCTGCGTCATTCGTGTTGACAAATGCCCGCCCTCCAAGCATTCTTTATACTCGTTAGCAAAGTATCTCTCCTCTTCGGCTGAAAACGAAGGCCTAGTCTCTCTCCGACTCGTCCAGGCGCTTGTTCTTCTTGCTGTCTATGAGCTATCACACGCAATTCACCCAGCTGCCTATCTCACCATCGGTCGTGCAGCCAGACTAGTCATTTTGATGGGATGGCATGATAGAGGTGCCCAACAGCTATTCAAGCCAGCCGATACATGGACTCTACTCGAGGAGGAGCGCAGAACGTGGTGGGCTGTTTTCATCCTCGACAGGTATGTCACTATCTTCACTTTTGTTAGGAGCATCGATATTGTGGCTAATACTCTCGACCAGAGTCATCAACACAGAAACCAGAGGTTTACCGTTTGCCACGCCAGAGCCAAGCCCCGATGAATTCCTGCCGGTCAACGATGAAGACTGGCGCAAAGGAAAATCAATCCCCAGTCAACCACTGTACACGGCATCCTTCAGCACCTACACACCTCTCGGCTGCTTTGCCAGGACATGTCAAGCGGCTCACATGCTCGGCAAGGTCATCGCCAACAGAGATGCCAAGCAGAGATCTTCGCAAGAGGCCGCAGCTCTCCTCACCGAGGCCCAGGGCCTTCATCAAGCACTGGTCGCCCTGAAACTCTCTATCGAACAGACTGCGGGCTTCGAAGCTGGCAGGACCGAGTATCCCTTGTGGAGTGCCATGGCCATTTGCGTCTCAGCTCAATCCCTTTTGTACAGTTCATACGGGTGCCCTAATTACCCGGGTACCGCGAGTCGAGCACGGCTGGCGCTGGACACAGAGATGCAAGCTCTCAGTGTCGAAGGGCTGCGGGTGGTGGCCTCCATCACAGGTCCTAGACTGGCCCAGATTCCAACTCAGTGCCCTTTGATGGCAAGATGCTTCTATGCTGCCGCGACTGCATGCGCGTGGTTCATACGCGAAGATGGTGAGCCAGAAATGAGGGGCGCCTTGGCACAGATGGTGCACAGCCTGAGGGTGCTGTCGATGCGTTGGGCTATTGCAGGTTCGTATTTTTAGATTCCATTTCTTACATGACTGACAATGTCAAATAGGTGAATATCTTGGCTTGCTTGCACAGAGTGGAACCTTGAACCTTGTCAACACTGAGCCTATTATGGCTAATGTTTTCACTCACTAGGTAAGGCCCGGGGGTTAGGACTATTTTTATACTATCTATTGGATGGCAAAGACTATTAGGTCCTAAATATAGTTGGGGTTAAAAAAGACTAAAATTGTTTAAACTATATTTAGCTAAAAAGTTTATACTGATATCTACATCTTATCTTTTTCTTAACCTGCGTAGGCTTGAAAATGTCTCGATTTCCTCTTTTCAGGTTCCTTGGATTCCATGCTTGGGCTTGAAACTGCAGCATGTTGGTATAGACTGCTACTCGAAGCTGCCCGTGACCCTCTTTCGCCTACCCTCGATCATCAAGAGCAATACGGAACTGCTCCCTTGGGCTGTGGTTGTTGGGGTGAATCAACAGGAGGAGTACGGCAAGGGACAGGTTGGCTAGGCAGCTGGAATACAACATCTCGGCGGATTGCCAAATTTTGATCGGCAAACAGGTTTTGACGATGCATCCTACATATCGTGAATCAGAGTCTTGGATGGCTACAAGTAATGCTCCTCGCTCCTGATCTCAGATTTGAACTCTTTTCCTTCATCCACCCCATCACACCTCAGATCTTTGGGTCGATCTGCACAAACACACACACGTAGAATTAGAGTATCATAAATTTTTGAGTATTTTATTTATTATATTCAGAGAGTTTTTAGCATTAAAAAACAGAGATTATTAACTCAGTTTCTCATCTTTTCTGCGAACGCGTGGGTAGTACAATTGCACTGTGGCTCCCCCGCCGTGTTAGTTTGCCGGGCCCACAGATTTTCAACTCCGAACTCGCTTCTTCGCGTCATTCTCTTCCTTCTGCTTCACAACATCCTTCACTCAATTCGCCCTTGGAGAGTGGGCCTGGAGCTGCTACGGGGCCGGAGAAGAAACATTTGTCAATTGAGGCGAACTCAACACCAACGAAAATGCCCGCACACGATCCTCAGCGCGAGGAGAGGCCTCACAATGGAGTCTTGCACGATGAGACCTCTCCGCTCCTCGCTCGCGCGCCCGAGACACCTCAATTGGGAGACACCAAGTCCATAACCGAGATTCACAGCATCTGGTCCGAAGCGAAGCTCCTCTGCCAGTACTCACTGCCTCTGATCGCGACCTATCTCCTCCAGTACTCGTTCACCGTCATCACGACAGTCGTTGCCGGTCATTTGAGCGCCGAGGATCTTGCAGCCTCTTCCCTAGGTTTAACCACCATGAACATTGTCGGATTCACCATCTTTGAAGGTATGGCGACCGCTCTCGACACTCTCTGTGCCCAGGCCTATGGCTCCGGTCGTCTCACGGGCGTGGGACTTCACATCCAGCGCATGGTCATCCTCATGACAGTCGTCATGGTCCCTGTCGCCGCATTCTGGCTGTGCTCGCACTGGATTCTTCCATTGCTCGTACCTCAGCGGACCCTCGCCCTCAAGGCCGCCTCCTTCTTGCGCGTCAGTCTTGTTGGGCTGCCCGGGTATGCCTTCTTCGAAGCTGGCAAGCGGTTTCTGCAGGCTCAAGGCGATTTTGGTCCAGGTATGGTTGTGCTCATCATCTGCGCGCCCGTCAATGCCTTTCTCAGTTGGTTCTTCGCCGTAAAGCTAGACATGGGTCTCGATGGAGCTGCTTTCGGACAGGCCCTTGCGAATAACCTCAGACCTGCGCTGCTACTGCTATACATTGTCGTCTTCGGGAAGAAGTCCCACCGCTGCTGGGGCGGCTGGGATGCACGAGCCGCCTTTTCCGTCGGGGAATGGGGTCCAATGGTTCGTCTGTCAGTTGCAAGCACAGCTGTTAATGCCGCCGAGTGGCTTGCTTTTGAGATCCTCATGATCAGCACCTCGTACATTGGAACCCGTCATCTCGCCGCCCAGACCGTGCTGAACACGCTCTCCATCGTTACGTGGCATATCCCATTCTCGATTAGTGTTGCTGTTACCACGCGGTTCGGTCATCTCATAGGTGCAGGAGCCTTAAAAGAAGCACGTCGAGCCGCAGTTCTGTATTCCATCGTCTTCTTGGCTGTGGGTGTTTTCGATGGTGTCTTTTTGTTCACCTTGCGACGACCGTTGGCAGATCTCTTTTCGGAGGACGCTGGCGTGAGAGATCTCGCCATCCGATCTATGCTCACCGTTGCCGTGTTCCAGATCATCGACTCGGTGATCTGCGGAACCAACGGTGTGCTAAGAGGCCTGGCAAAGCAATCTGTCGCTGCATGGGTTGTCCTGGCCGTCAATTACCTGGCTGCCGTGCCGTTCGCCATATGGCTTGAGCTTGGAAGCCCAGACATGAAACTCGATGGTCTATGGGTTGGTCTCGGGGTTGGAATGGTCATCATTGCCATAATTGAGTGCGCATACATGAAGTGGATTAGTTGGCAGGACTGTGTTGATAACGTGAGGGAAAGGGAGGACGATGGGACATAGGATGTCCACGTCTATACTTCCAAAGGGAATCTGTTATGGTCTAGATATTATGTAGCGATACATGCGCATAGAAAGGCGTTGGTGCTACGACTTTACAACGCACACTTTGCTGGCATCTATAAAAGGGGTAGGGGACACAAGAATGCTCGGATTTAGAAGAATGACTTAGAGAAGTTCAGGTAGTATCAGGGGCTATGGGTAGTAAGAGAGGGTAAAGCGGACAGGTCGTCAGATAACTTTGTCTAATTCGACTACCTACGCAGAGGTTATGAAGCAAAGGGGGGACTGCAGAATTATAAATAAGAGGTCGATAGAGAGCGATCAGATGGTTGATTATCCTGAGGAAAGACAGGTGAACGGACTATTGAGCTAGAAGAAAAGAGAAGGTGGCTAAGAACTCTCTCGTTATGCTTTCTGCTATGAATAACGCCCATACGTGGGTGAACTTAGCCCATTCCTTCTAACCTGCACACTATCATCATCTATCATGATGAAAGTGAGCTTGAGCTCAGAGTGAAGAGAGTGGGAGAGACAGCTCGCCAACTTCATAAGAGCAAGCCAAGCTTGTGTCGGTTACACTCATGGCGTTGAGTGGCCACCCATCTGAAGACCAAGCACCGCCAGAATAGCCCCAACTAGCTGATCCATGGAGCGGGAGCGGGAGAACAAGGAGAGCATGACAAAAATGCAGCAAAGGGGGAGCAATGAAAGCCTCCACAGGGCAAAAAGAGTGGTTCCGCCCGGGATCGAACCGGGGACCTTCTCGGTGTTAACGAGATGCCATAACCAACTAGACCACGGAACCGAGGTTGTTGATTGGTTAAGGGAGGCTTTGCAAACTGAGGCTATTCGCTGTCCAGCGCGTAACACTGTGGACGTCCCAGTCTGTTGTAGCTATCTAGCAGTCTATGGCTACTCAACGAATCAAAACCTCCAAGACGCACCAAGCACTTCAGTTCTTGATTTGCAATCTCAGCTTCATTTTGGGGTTGCAGTTTACTGTTAAAATTCATCAAGATGGGTTACAAAGTCAAGTTCATCGAATTGGTGCTATCACAAAAAAGCTTCTCTTAGTAAAAGATACTCACATTTCGACTCGCCTACTCCAACATGGCCTCAATCACACTCTCCGAATCCTTGTGCCAGATACCAGTAATCTTCAGTCCTGCATCTGCCAACAACTTGCGCCACTGGCTCTCTGTTCGCTCTCGGTTCACGAGCATACCCATCATCGTCCAGTCAAGGCTTGTCTGCTGCCAGGGTGCTCCCACATCTCGCAGTACAGCCTCGTTGATGAGAAGTCTGGAATAGCCCTTGGCCATAGCATCTCGAATGTGAGACAGGATGACAGCGCACTCGGCATCAGGCCAGTCGTGGAGAATGAGACGCATAAAGTAGGCGCGGGCACCACGATACTCCGCCGGCTGAGGTTTGAAAAAGTCATGTGCAACAGCTTGAATGTTTTCAGGCAGGTCACCGGTTGTCCTGGCGTCTTCGATAACCTCTGGGAGATCTTGAAGCACCAACTGGCCGGCTGGGGCATTGTCCTTGGCGTTCAGGCCAAGCAACTCATGACCAACACCACCGCCGATGTCAACCAAGAGAGGGCCAGATTGCTCAGCAGACTTGTCGTCAGCCGCAAGACGTTCCTCAAATGGGTAAAAGTCCACCCAACGAGGTCTAGCCTTGGCATAGCCAGTCATGAAGCCATTAAAGGCCTTTCCAAGACGGGCGTTTTCTTTCAGGATGCTAAAGAAAGGCTTCTCCGTCCTGAGACCATACTGAACGGGACCGTCACTGGCATCCTTGGGAACTTGATAGTTTGTCTTGGCCAAGAACTCAGGAAGACCCTGAAAGGTGGGAATCATGCCCTCGAAACTGTAGATGAGACCGCCTTCCATGGTTGGGTCTCGAGTGGACATGGAGAAAGGTGTGGCGACATATTGATCCATGCCCACCTCTTTGACGATGCCATTGGCAGCCAGGTGCTTCAGGATTCGAGCTGTAATTCGTGTTAGTAAAATTAACAGCGTTAAAGTAGCAGATGAACTTACCAACCAGTACAGGGTCGGCAGTTGTGCCAGCTGCCAACTGCTCGCTGCTCTGAGGCTCGTCGCCCAGCTTCTTGAAAAGCCCCAGCTCAAAGCCGGTTCTGAAGGCGGCTGTCCGAGTTGGCTCGCCCCAGCCAATTCTCGCCAGCTGCTCTCCAGGGTTCTCAAGCTCTTGAATGAGAGCGGCGGCTGCGGCTATGACCTTCTGTCTTGCACCCTCATCCCCAGTCTCTGTAAAGACTTTGCCGTTGGAGGCGACTGCATCAATAAGTGCAGCAGCCATGTTGTAGAAGTGTACTTGAAGACAGGGACAAGTGTAAAGTTCAAAAAGTAGAATTCGCTTGCAGACAAAGTAGTTTCGTCCCAAGTCAATGGTTCACGAGGACTATTTATGCTAGCAACTTCAAGTCAGCGACTGTCAGCCTTGGGAACTCAATAGTCCGAGATACCGCATTACATTGCGATTGGCGCTCCTTGGATAGATGCGCGACGCTCCAGTCAGCGGTCCTTGTTCCTCGAGTGTCAGAAGCTAAGCCGCTAGGGCTTACTGTTGAGCTGGCCATCGCGTCATTTTCCAACGGGAATAATATGGGGGCTGCATTGTATGCCATTGCCAACAGCTTTCTTCTCATGAAGGCCGAAGGAGCCGGGATGTGGCATCTATGGTCCTATGGACAAACTGTAACCCTATGGTCAGCATTCCGCGTTTCATCACAGAGCTCTGTGATCCAAAGGATTCCCAGTGCAGCTTGATACATCAAGAACTGCAGATGTTGCTCGAATGGATTACCTCTTTAGACACTTTTCAGCCTTGTTTCGATCCTACAGCAGCAAAAGCCTGATCAGCCGATACCCATGTCCTGGTGCTGTTGCAACCAGACCGGGGCAGGACACTATTGGTAGAGGCTCATATCAAGCTTGCAACTTTATTAGCAGCACATTACGTTCCTTTTTGCATCTAAAGTCCGAACTGGCCAATCACATATAAGAGCCCGTTGGATAGTCATGAGGCCAATGCAGTTATTCTACACAGCCTCACTGTCTATGTTTTCTAGGCCGAGTATCTTATCGTTGGCATCTTTCAAGTCTGTGAATCAAATACGGCGGATGCAGTAGGATAATCCTTCAGACAGTGCTTGGGGCGATTCTCCTATTCATAGATGTAGACTAACCAATGCTCAAGTCAAGGCTGTAATGATCCTTCTCATAAGGGAGTTGAGGACAATAACGTGTTGGGCCGTATCTCACAATGTCCATGAGCACGGTCTGACTCTACAGCGGGTCAGTATAGTCAATAGGAACTTCCATGGTAACACACTCGATATTTAGTAGTAATTAGAAACTGCAGCGGATCCAAGTGAGGCCGTGTGTGTTCAGGGCGGTTCATGGGATTGGAACTGTTGTCGCAGCGGCGAGGCTGGGGACGGCCAGGCAGAAGATGGATCGCATCGTCGGGGTCGGGGGTTTGATTTCCGCGGCGTGTGAGGGGAGACGAGACGGGACTTTTCAACACAGCCTTTGGTGTTGGTCCTTACTCATCAGGGCTCTAATAAGACGTTTTGAGAAATAAAGTTGCTTTCATCGCGCTCTCTGGGTGTATAAAGGAGTGCTCCTGGTAGCATTAAGATAAGTGGCCACCGGGACACTTTTCCAATTATCCCGGATGCGTTGCATTGACACACTGATAGCTAAATTGAGCCTGTCTTTTGTTTTTTACGAGATGTGGTCTTTACAGTGACGGTTGAAGTTCACGATGGTGGGCGCTTTTGGCACCCGAGCTTAAAACGATGCTGTACTCGGGTAGGTCAGGGCACGGAACACACTCTCCTCTAAATCAAGATGACAAGTTATCCTCTCGAAGACCCAATTGAGAATGAGACATGATCTCGTTTTTGCTATGTGACTGGTGAATCCCTTGTCTCTGGGCAACTGAAGATTTCTCCGGAAGTAGAAATAGCTTCAGACAGTGTCTTGGGTTAGGTAACTCGGGTACCTGACGTCGTTGCCCGATGGAATCCCAGTGTCTTTGTTGAGGATGATGTGTTGTCCTGGCCTCTGCTTACTTTTTGAAACGATAGCTGTCGTTACCCGCAGTGCCAACTCATCGCACATTGTGTGTGTTGTTTGTGTGTTACTAGGACAACATGAGAAGGGATACGGAGCAGCACAAATGCAGTCAACCGGAAACAAACATGGACGACAAATAAGCAGGGGCTGCAGTGAATGATTGATTGCCTGACTTGACGCCCAATATGATAGCTCTGCAACAACACATAGCTTCATCTCATTCCAATTGATGAGCTTGTCGCTGATAAACAACCCAACCCAAGCTTACCCTGGACCAGCAGCGAGCGTATCACGGTCGTATTCCAATCCATCTTTAGCGCTTGTCTCGCTTCACTCTCCCTTGTCGGATTCTCCCTTGGCGTGGCTTGTGAAAAAAAATCGGGGCCTGACCCCAGTCACCGTCATCATCCAACTTCTTTTTTGGTGAGAATGGGAATGGGAGATGGAGCCGTCATCAGCGCCAACTTTTCTTGCTTGTTGCCCGGGCCCTCACTCTCTCCACTTGGCACGGAGCGGGAGAGGGAGGCGAACTGGAGAAAGCACTTTACCTGCAGCAGAGGCTTCCTGTCCCGTCTTTGATTGATGATGACAGCATCATCCTTTTCAATCTCGACTGTTTTCTCTTCTCCTTTTCTGTCTCTCCTCCTGAGAGATTGAGTGAGCCACAATTGAAAACTATTGCCAATAGGCTTCCTGTCGTCTTCAGGGTCTCGACTGGCCTCAAACTTGGCAGCCCAGCTGTTTGAAGCTGGAGGCCTGTGCTGACCAACCTTGGAAGTCTTCCGTCACAGCGGACTCGTAGAAGGCCCCGGCCCCTTTTGATCGCTGACTTAGCGGCTAGATATCGAGGCCGGCCCCCGGAAAAGGCGCTGGAACCTGAACGGCCCCCCCCTGTCTGTCACAGTCCGGCTGGGCTCTGCTCTTTAGCGCACGAGCTATCAAGTCAGAGACCGCGTATCCTCAGCTTGCTCGACGATACCTCGTGTCCAAGTATCCGCTGCTCCTGACCCTGGCCCATTGGCTATTCCCAACAGGGGCAAGAGCGCCTGGGATGTGATGGCGTGGCGTCACCAGACAGCTCGTGGCTGAGGCGGTTCCGCTTGAGGTCCGGTTGGGCAGGTGAGGGCCGAGGCCTGGTCGCGCCTGCCGTTCCCTGCTCATGTTCCGTCCTCTGGTTGGCCGACACGAGGTAGGTACTTTGCGTCCTCGTACTCCTGTTCCCTCCCCCATCCCATTTCACCCGCTCCCAAGGCCTTGCACCTGCAGCCTGCAGGCGTAGCCCCCGAATGGTGAGGCGAAGAAAAGAGAGATTGGATTGATTGAATGGACGGGAGACCAAGGAGAAGTTGATCGGGACAGGGTCGTGGTTACTTGTACTGGTTGGTCCCCTTTCTTTCCCACTGACTGACCTAGGTAATCACGAAACACCAAAAAAATCTTGTCGAGATTAGCATTCTTTCTTTGCTTCGACATCATCGCATCATCCCAAACTCCACCCGTCCACTGCAATTGCGATCCGCGTCCGATACGATACGACACTGTCGGACTGGGTGCCCCATCCATCTCGAGCAACCCTCGCAACAGGCTTGCGGAGAAGCAACGAAACGGGGACCGCGGCCGCCCAGACTACGTATTCGTACACAGTCTGTAGCGGGAGGGAGCTCCTCTTTCACTCTCCTCATCTCGTACCGTACCGCTGCGCTACAGACAGTTACGCGCTAGAGTCAACCAGCCACAGCATTTCTGCCCCATCGTCCATCGAAACCCCCCGGTCGTGGAACGTGGACCCCCCGTGGAACGTGGCTCACGCAGTTTCAAAGCCGCAGTTCCTCGTCTCCCGTCTCGTCCTGAGGAAGAGACGAGAGGGTGTTGTACCATACCTACCCTCTCACACTCGGACCTCTGTCGCCTCTTTCTCCCTCGTCTGGTCTGTCTGCCGTTCGTTCGACTCGCTCGCCGTCGTCAAACCGTGTCGGGTCCGGAGGATCCGCCTTTTCCATCCCATCCTCCATTCCCGCTGGACTGGGCCGCGCTGCCAATTCCCTCCCCCTCTCCCCACGGATCCTGAGCTTGCCTGACCCTGACGCTCTGTCCTCCAACGTTGGTTGACCTGTCTCATCTCGACTGGTCACGTCACGTCAGGTCACGCACGTCGCTGTCCGGGCCGGCAGCGCAGCACAGCAGCACACGACAGATTCGACTGACACTCTCCACCGTGCCCGTTCGCCATGGACTCGTATGTTTGCTCCTCGCCTTGAATTCTTGACTCAGGGCGCCACCACCACCTCTCTTTTCCTCTGTCACACCTTCTGTTACGCACAAACTCTATCCTCTGCCTCGCCGAACCTTGCTCGCACACCCAAACTCACGCTCACATCTGCTCTGCTCTAGATTTATTCCAATGTCTGCCGCCGCCGCTGGCTGGGGCCAGCCTCTTGCGACAACCTCACCAGCGTCTCGACGATCATTAGGCCATTTCCGATCACTTTCCTCGATCGCTTCTGCGCCTAGTCACAAGCCTCGAACTCCCTCAACAATCACTCCCGATCACACGCCTGTCAAATCTTCCTCTTCAACACATCTACCGATCGGTTCTCCTGCACCTATCGACCTCGGCGATGAGATGAGCACCCTGCCTGATCCACGAAGCCGTGGTATGAGCCCGGCCGATGACGGTAGCATCTCGATCCCTAATCACCACCCCGACCTCAATGACGAAGTCGCCACCCTCAGCACAAAACTCATCAACGCCATCAATCACCAAACGATACTCGATGACTCCCTATCAGCCGCCCGCCATGAGCTCGACACTGCCCGCGATCGAATTCGCATTCTCGAGGCCCAGAATGCCTCGCAGCGTGAAATGCTGCAGGGCGATGTTTGGATACGAAAGCATACCGTTGAGGCTGAAAAGAAGGTTTGGCACGCCAAAATAGCCGAGGAGCGCCAGAAGCGTCTCGATACGGAAAAGGACAAGAAGAAGATTGAGCAGGAGCTCGAAAACCTTACTGCTGCCTTGTTCGAAGAGGCCAACAAGATGGTGATTGCGGCCAAGGAGGAGGCCAAGGCGGATCACGAGGTGCTGCAGCGCAAGAATGACCAGTTGAAAGCTCAGTTGGCCGATTCCGAAAGCCTGCTCAAGTCACAGCAGGAGCAGCTTTCTGAGCTCAAGCACGTCATGGAGCACATGGCTGCTGAACGCGACGACCAGACCAACCCTACCGCTCCCTCTTCGCCCGGCTTTGCCAAATCCGATTCTCTTGACGATCAGCGAACATCCGCCAACGAACCTTCACCTTCGCCATGGGTTCCTGCTGCCGAGCCCTCACACCCGACAAGCTTTACCCATTTGATCCAGCCTGTCCTGCGAACGGATCTGGCTTCGTACGATGACTTTGTGAGCCTCGCTCGAGTCTCTCGCAACCGTGCTGGAAGCCGTGTCTCGTCGGGCTCTATGGGTGCCCTCACTGCGCTCTCCTCGTTTGGTCTCGGTGGTTCGACTTCAAGTGCTCACCCTTCGAACGCTTCTACTACATCTCTCAACACGGCGGGTCAGGCTGTCGGTAGCGCCCCTCAGTCACCAAACACGCCGGCCTCGACTATCAGTGCTGCCTCGAATGCCTCTGCTGCTCCTCTGCCCAGCTTGAAAGAGACAAAGTTCTACAAGCGGGTTTTGGCAGAAGACATTGAGCCTACCCTTCGTCTTGATATGGCCCCTGGCCTGTCCTGGCTTGCTCGTCGAACCGTTATTAACTCGATTGCTGAGGGGTCACTGGTCGTGGAGCCTGTCCCAACTACTGGATCATTTATTGCTCTGACGAAGCCGCAATTCTATCCCTGCTCCCTCTGCGGTGATTCTCGAAAGGATCCTCTTTACTTGCGCACCCACCGATTCCGAACGAGCGAGACCGATTCGGCGCAGAGACACCCTCTGTGCAAGTACTGCCTCAACCGCGTACGCTCTACGTGCGACTTTCTTGGATTTCTACGCATGGTCAAGGACGGTCACTGGCGAGCTGACGACGAGAATCACGAAAAGGCTGCCTGGGAGGAGAGTGTACGACTACGAGAGCAGATGTTCTGGTCTCGAATTGGAGGAGGCGTTATTCCTAGCATCCAGGCACCACTGTTGGTTGACCTGGAGAAGAGCCCCCGGACCAGCCGCGAAGAGAGTGTGGTGTCCGATCATCTCTCGGTCCCTGGCTTTCAAACTCCACCAATGATGAACATTGACCGAACGCGGAACGAAAAGGTCAACGGCCCGATTCAAGAGCCCCATACTCCGCCTTTGCAGACGGATGGAGCTAGGAGCGTACGCAGCTCCATACAGTCTCTGGATGTCAAGAGCAGCTCTGGCTCGGAAGACACGAAGCGACTGTCGATCACGATCCCATCTGCGGATCAATAAACAAAACATTCTTTTCAAGACCCGACGTCAACTCCTGATGCGGGTCTTGTGTATTATTTTTGTATAACACTTTGGGTTACAGGATTGCATGCATTGATTGGTTTGCGGGAATGAGTTTGGATTGCGCATGCTGGGCACAATGATGCTCAATCAGCTGTCTCGACACGGACACAGTGACTCAGAAGACGAAGGATGGGATATTTCAACATACATTGGATGAATAGGTTATGGGAACTGACTTACACTACCTGGGGGACTTGGATGAAGGGACCGATCGATCGTTATGGGAGTCCTCGCGGGTCTACAACTTCTGGCGTTTTACGGGGAGACACACAGAGAAGGGAGAGAGAGAGATGCGCATCGTTCGTTTCGGGAGGCGCAAACTGGATCGGGAAATGGGTTGGGTTTCTTGGGACGACATGCTTTATTTGTCCTCTGCTTTTGGTCCAGAGCGTCATGATTGGATTGGATTTGCCACGCGCAAGAGAAAGACGGAGAGAGAGAGCACGCATGCACAGGGTTTGCTTTCCTACATTTATTAGATCATCACATCACGCAAGGCCGTCAACTATGCTATTTGACGCTGCCACTAGTTGTAGTAGTAATACACATGATACCAACTGCATTCAATTGCTTGCTATATGATCTCTTTGGTGATATCGAAGGCCTGACTTGGACGAGTTAGTTGTTATTATGCAAGTATAAACCTCTTATCCTCCTTGATGGGGAGATTCAAGTTAGCGTAGTCAAAAACATCGCACAACCTCAACATGAAGACATGAAAAATGTATATTAGTGATGGAATTTGTGTCGCAAACATTGTACGCACGCCACGATATGCCCTCAGACACATGTCAACAAATGAGAATACGCCGTAGCCCGACGTCCCAGTCCTGTATAGCCAGCCTCCTTATCCTCCCCTCGTTTTTATGGGTGTAATGTTTTTTATGACTTTTCTCCTCCAAAATCAGACAGATACCGATTATCCCCCCCCCCATCTTCACTAGTAGTGTAAGATCGCCAGGGATTTTCCCACCCTCTCCATAAGTCGTCAAGTGATAATGAGTACATGATGTTACAAGGCTTGCGGGAAGGTTCGTAGAAGAGGTTGAGCCAGGAGAGTAGGGAGTGCCGTTTGCAGGGCAGGCTTCGTAAATATGGAAATCGAGGGTCTCGCAAAAGAGAACTCAACTGTCCGATAGTTTACAGCTCATCCTTGACGGTGGCGTCCTGGTTCTCGCTGGCAGGCTTGGCCTTGGCCTCCTCGGCCTCCTTCTCACCATCCTTGCTAGCAGCAACATCCTCAGGAGCAGGAGCAGCCACAACCTCCTCGACCTTCTCCTTGCCCTTGAGAGTCTCGCTGTTCACACCCTCAACATCAGGGTGAGGAGGGGCGACACCAGCGTCAATGTCGGCAGGCCAGCCGCCCTCAGGCTCTTGAAGCTCCTGACCGTTCTCATCAACAACTCGGATCTTGGTCTCGTACTTGGTCTTGAACTCAACCTTGCCCTCCAGAGCCTTGACCTGCTCAGGGTCAAGGAGGTTGCCGTCTTGGTCACGGTACTCAACCTTCTCCTCCTTGGCAACCACACGGTGCTCAACCGCGGGCTCAGGAGCTCCAGAGATGACAGCCTGCTCCTGCTTTTCAACGACAGGAGCCTCTTGCTTGACGGGGTCAACCTTCTTAGTAGCCTGCGTGGTGGGAACCACGGAGGAGCTGACAGCGGGAACCTGGCTGTACTTGTCGTACTGAAAGTCACATGTGTTAGTCAACTATTACCTGAATTGATCGGATAGAAAACACTTACGCTATCATAGAAGGTGTTGCAGTCAAAGTCCCAGGTCTTGAAGAGCTTCACGCGCTTGCACTCAGCCTTGGTCCAGGGACTACCATAGGCCAGAGGAGCGTACAAGGAGAAGACAGCAGCGGAGAGGACAAGGAAAGCAACGGTGGCGATGCGGTTGATGGCGTTGCTCTCACGGACACCAATGCCGGGAACGCGAGCAGTGATGAAGTCAAAGACCTGGCAGAGGGCAATGATGGCAAAGTAGAGAGCAGGGAAGTAGTGGTGAAGGAACAGTTGACGCTTCATCAGGTAGAAAGGGAAGTAGTGCAGAGCCCAGCCGAGGACCGAAGTGCCAATCTCGTAGTCGAATCGCTTGAAGGTGGCGCTCGAGTAGTCGTTGCAGCTGCGCTGCCATCGGAGAACAGCAATGCCCTTGAAGACGACCCAGATGGCAATGGCAACGCTGGAAGACCACCAGATGATGGGGTTTCCGAGGAGGTAGACCTGAGTGTGCTGGCGGCCCCAAAAGTTGATACCTCGGCGAAGGATGGGCCAAGACTCAGGGCGGGAGTCCCAGGCGTGAGAGTCAGTGAGGCCAGCGTTGGTCCTCCACATGACCTTGTGAAGCTCCCAGAACTTGCCAAAGAAGCCAGGTCGTCGGTAGTTGACCTTCTCAACATCGCCCTCCAGCTGGGGATGAGCGTTGCTCTCGATGTACCACAAGCTGTTGGGGAGAGTACCGCCACGAGCGCAAGTCACTTCCTGCTGCTCGGAAGCCCAATCTGGGAGCTTGACCTTGTGAGAGAAGAGAACACAACCAGTCATGACATGGACGAGACGGAACTTGGTCTCAATGGTTCGGAGGCGGGTCTTGGCGACAGCACCCTTGGTCTTCTTCTTGACAATCTCGACACGGAAGAAATCGTTGGCATCACCATCGAAACCTTCATAGCCATAGGCCGAGACCTCGTTCTGCCAGTCGGCCTCGGTGATCGGGGGACGGACATCGTGGGAGTGCAGGCGGCGGTGGGTAGGGCGATGGTAGAGTCGGAGAACAGCACCGTCCTTGATGTACTGGGGCTCGGGAAGAGCGTCCCAGGCATAAGTACCGTTGATAGGTTGGCCATCGACACCGAGGGGCTGAGTCTGGTTCTCCAGGAGCCAGATGTTGTTGTCGTCCTTGTGAGGATACAGAGTGATCTGCTGCTGCTTGCTGCCGGTGGGGTACATGAGAGGGTGAGAGTGAAGGTAGCCACCCTGGGTGTTGACATGACGCAGGGTGACACGGCTGCCCATGATGACATCGGCGGGGACATCCTTCATTCGCTTGTTGTTGAGGGTAGCCTGGAACTCGGAGCTCATGAAACCATCACCATCACCAGGGTTCTTGAGGGCAACGAAGTGAATGGCGAACATGGCCATGTAGAAGGTCAGAGGGACGACAATCAGGGAAAAGACACGGGCCATGAAATGCTTGGTCCAAAGACGCTAGAAGAAGTCAGCAGGCTGATCAAGAGCCAACATGAGCAGTCGTTCCATACCATGGTAACGTTCTTGGTGTCGCCGAGCAGAACCCAGAGCTGGACCAGAGTAAGGGCGCCAACCCAAGCGATGGTGAACAAGCCAACCCACTTGATGCTGGCGGTAAGGCCCAGACCAAGACCAGTGTTGATGAGCCAGAACCACCAGCTGAGTTGGAAGGCCTTATCAGGACCAAGCTCGTGCTGGTTGGTGAAGCACGTGAAGGACAGAACAGTGAAAGCGGTGGCAGCAACAAGAGGCGAATCGAGGAGGATCAGACGGGCCTGGGTCAGAAGACCGTTCTCTGCGAATCGTTAGTCCAAGACCATGCGAGTCTGGCATCCTCAGGTACACGAACCAAAGATAATGAGACCGGAACCCATGGCAGCAGTCATGGTACGGCAGCCAACAGCCTTGAGAGTCAGGAACATGCAGGGAATCAGAAGGATACCGCAGATGGCGGGGAACATGCGCATGGCGACATATGGCACGCCGGGCTCAATGTAGTCCTTGCCAATCTCCTTGAAATCGAAGCTTCCGTCGAAGCCAGCGAGCCAGCCGGTGAGGGCGATGAGCATCTTGGCCAGGGGAGGGTGGACATCCATGAAGAACTTGCCCTTGATGTACTTGGTAGCAAAGCCGCCGAAGCTGTGGTTGTGAAACGAAACGATTAGTGGACTGGTCTGGACAGGGGATGGCTGGAGCTCGGGATGAAGCTCAACCAAAGCTCCCAGGAGCGAGGGAGACTCACTGGACCTCATCAAAGACAACACTAGTGGGCTGGTAGATCCTGTAGACACGGACAATGGTGGCCACGACCATCAGGCCGAGGACAATCCAGTAGTCGGAGACGGGGAGGAGGAAGACATCGTTGTCCTCAACACCATCCGACTTGTACGAGGTTGAGTTCTTGGCCTTGCCGTTGGTGTTGCTCTTCTTGGGCTTGCTAGCCACGGCAGCAGGCTGTTGCTGCTGCGGCAGCGGTACCAGAGCAGGTTGTTGTTTCTCGACGACAGGCTGTTCAGCCTTGACCGGCGGCCTGGGACTCTTGCCCCGGGAACGAGCCATGACGGTCAAGTATCGATGTTCAGTTCGAATCGACTCGATCGCAGAAGGCTTCTAGAAGCTGTGCCTGAAGCGCAGACACTCGAATCGGGAACAATGGTTCGGATGGTTGTGGATGTAAAAAAGAAAAGGTTTGGTCGTGGAAACGAGAGCGAGAAGGGAAAACCGGCCGGGGGGGAGGAGATGACTTAAAGACACCTCATCGAATGGGTCGGAGGATAGGATAAAAAAAAGAATAAGAGAAAAAAAAAAAAGGACCCAAAAGTTCAATCGCAAGCTGTCCGGGGTGATAGAATGGACAACAGGCGATGCGCAATAGGCCTTGACGTCGTTGGGTGATGCGAGGTTGAAGAAGGGGGAAGGAAGAAAAGAAGTTGAGGAGGACACGAAGCTTCAGGGGATGGTTGATGATTAACTTGGCACATGCGGGTGGGCTGAAACTGGTGATGGGGATGGGGGATTGACTGGAAGGATGCTTGCAGCAGCAGCAGCAGGCGCGTGTCACTGGGCTCCTGCTCCTTCCTGCTGCTCTGCTCTCTCAAAAATTGTAGCTACAGTGGCCTTTTCGGCTGGCTCCCGTTCCCGTCAGCTCGAGTAGCCTCCACTAGTACCTCGCGCCCAGTGGGGTTCTCCCTACGCGCACAGCGAATCAACCCCTGACCCCGGCTACGAAAATCCCCTGGAATCCCCGTAGCGCTAGCCTGGAAACGGAGCTGCACATGGAAGGGGAACATTCGCCCTATAAAAAGCGTCCTCTGGCGCTAGCGAGGCACAGCTAACCTCAGCTCATGCTTCTATACAAAGGTCTTGTTATCATTGACGTGAAGAAGAATCCCTAGGCATGGAGGTAATGAAGCCCAGCAAGAGCTAAGCTCAAAGGTGTCAATTACCATTCCTATCCAAGCCCGAGCCCAGAGCTGTCAGAGCTAGGGATTGACGTTTTGCGCCACTCTCGTGTTGTGGCTGCAGTAATCAGCCACAGCAGGGGTTCGTCTTGTTCTGTGGCATCAGCTCCAAACAAGCGCGATGCGGCTAAACATCCATGGACAGGGCCAGACTGCACAAGAGCCCCTTTTTTCGCCCATGCCCAAAAACGCGCGTTCTTGGACCACACGAGTGCCCTCTAGACGAGGACAGTGACGACGACTATCCTCGCTGACGTTTGACCTGTTTGTGCCATCACAGGTTTAATATTGGGAACAGTCTATAACAAGCATAAACGCCCTCTGAGCCGAATCGTCAATGACAACTCCGTCTCGGGTATATCAACTCCACTTCCTATATATGTAGATTCATGTCTCACTTGGCGTCTCTGATCAACAGCTGTCCAAGATCGCGTGTCTCGATAGGCTACAAGTCACCCCGCGCCCCCCTCGACTGCAGATACTCTGCCCAGTGCCGGAAGCCTGCAATCCAGTACGGAACGCCTTGTGGCTTGGCCAGCTCACTTAGGGACGCTCGTCTGGGTGACTCTTGTGATAACCAGTCGTGACCTTGAGCGTCAAGAACGTCTGCCATCGAAGTTGAGATGATCCGATTCACTCTTCCATTCACAAGAGGGAACTTTTGCAACGCTTGCATCGCTTCACTCCAACAAGACAACGCAGATTCCAACTCAGAGTTCATGTGGCGTAGTTTCGCCAGGATGACGTACAGTCGAAGCCTCTCATACTTGAGAAGGCTGGTCCTGGTCTGGACGTCGAGGCAGATCTGCTCTGCTTCTTCGTATCGCCCTTGGGCAAAAAGTGACTCTGCCAGAGCCAATTCCAGAAGGGACTTTCCAGCCAGAGGGTCAGGTCTTTCAGTGCGTTGCACTATTTCTGCGCGGAGGAGTTCTTCACCAGCAACAGGTCTGTCAAGCTCTCGTAGTGTGTCAGCCAGATCGCAAGTAAGATCACGAAGATCCTCTTCCAGGATGATGTCACTCTGTTCCTGTGTGGTCTTTTGTGCTATCTCGAGCTGCTCCAGCGAGTCGTTGAACTCGCCTTGATACCTCATGATTCTTCCAAGGAGTGCATGTTTTCGGAAGCATATAACTTCTTCCAATGGGGACGGGTTCTCTCCAAGAGGGCTCCAGTCTTCCAACAACTCCTGAGCGGTGTCAAGATCTGCTACTTGAATATAGTTCAAGCATCGCTGAAGGACTGTCACACAAATTTCCGAGCGTGTTCGTTGATTCATGGCGGCTGCTGGGTCGTCTGATGCAAGGTCCTGGAGGCTGTTCACAGCTTCGTTCATGTTTCCGCTAAGTCGACCTAGAAGTGCCTTGGACTGTCCAATGCAAAGGCGAAGATGCGTGTTCTTGAGTCGTCCTGCAGCCAATTCTGCTTGACCGACAGCAAAGTACTTCCATGCCATCCCGGGAAACCGAGAGGCCTCGATGAGGGTGAGCATGAAGTCAGTTCTTGTAACTGCTGGAAGACCGTCAAAGCAATCTTCATACGCTTCCGTGACATGCTGCAAATGTGGTAGGAATAGCTTGACGGTAGCATCACTGTGTTGGGTAAGTAGTTGGCCGAGGCTTATCAAGGTTTTAGACTCACGGAAACTCGATATACTTCCAGGGGATCGCTCTGTATGCCACGATCAGGGCTTGCTGTCGCCAAAATGCAAGACCTTTGGGATCAAGGCTTTCATGGATGCGAACAGACATGTCCTCGTTCAAGTGGTAGGCGTCATCGGAATATTTCAAGATGGCTGAAACCCAACAGAGTTCTTCAAAGATGCTGTTCAATCTTGAGGCGTCCGAAAGCAACTCAGCCAGTTCCGGAACCAATCCGACCGGGATGGCGTCCACAGTCTCGATCTTGCCATCAGCTGTCCAACGTCTGCGATTGGTTGAGCCACGGACAAGAAGATCCAAGGGAATTTTGTCGTAGGGTGAGAAGAATGACATCAGCACCAACAAGATGCTAGCGTCTTCTGAACGACTGGAGTGTTCGTCAAACAGATAGCTGGAGACAGCTTCCAGAGCTGAGGCTCTCCATGCCGACGACGACATTCCCACGGGTAGAGTATCGGGCTCAACACTGCTTCGAGTCGAATTCATAATAATTTCATGGATGACGAAGGGAACGGGAGGGATTTATTCATTGGCTCCTTCAGCGGAGAAGCTTTACCCCGAGAGTCCACTCCAGCCTCGCGTTGTTTGGTCGTCCAAAGGGATAGAGTGAATATGAGTGGTTGGTCAATATTGTCGAATATCTTGGCCCCTTTTTGAATGGATGCTGTGTAAAAAGATGGATGTTTTTGGAAGGCCGTAAGGCTGGGGTGCGTGATCGGGGAAAACGGCGTTGACTCCGCGAGCAGCCGACAAAACGTCATATCGGCGATTTTGGTAAGCCGATTTGTGCGGGGTATGTACTTGGCAATCTTTGCTGAGTGCGCGATACGATACGTCTCTTGAAGATCAGGTTCAGTTCTTGTGCGTGTTGGAGTTGGGGTTGCATGAGACACTGTGGCTGACTGACCAGGCTTCATCGTACAGTAAGCACTGTAGGCTCTAGACCACCATCCCGTCTTGTTCATCCAGGAACCCGAAGCCAAGCTTGCTATCTCTCAGATTCCCGATAGGTTGGTCAACTCACTAACGCTAGTTGCCGGAGATCTCGGTTCGCTAGCAGAATCGCCGGCGGGAGGGCAGAGATTCCGGAATGATAACAGATGGGCAAGACCAACGCGGTCGGAGGCCGTGCGAAGAGAGACCATGCATCCCAGCGATGTGACCAATGGCTTCCCTGAGATGGTGCAACACCATGAAGGGAGTCGGCTGAATACCGGGCTAGAGATGCCCAGAATGTCAGAAACCTCATCCGCTCTGACATATATCGGCTTGACCATGCGGGGGAATATAATATGGTTGCAGAGCCCAAGTAATCACATACGACCATACCCACTGGAGAACTCGGGATCCCGTCCGCTCTCCCATAGATAAGCCAGTGAGGGGCGGATTAGTAGTTGGGTCGGTGACGACCAGCGAATCCCCGCTGTTGTATGTTTTTGCTGTTTGTTTCTTTTTGCTCTTCCCTGCTATTGAGTTGACCTTTTTGTTGTTCAAGCCATCACGTTGATGATGGCGTACACCCTTGCCTGAGCGTCTCCAGTAAAATTCATTTTCAGGTGTTCCTAAACGAAAGCTACATCTGTCTCTACGTGGTACACATAGCCTTCTCCTCTTGCATGGCCACCATCCAATGTTTTGCTAGAGGTTCCGTAAGACTGGGGTTGTACTAGAAGTGAAGGCTGATTAGCATCGCGCTGATATAGGAAGGTCAAATAACGTACCTCTGCTGGCTGGCGGCAACCAACTCAGGAGCAGCCTCCTGCTGCGTCTCGTATATGATATCTCGTCTTTCCAAAAGGCTCGATGCTTTTGGAGAAGAGGATGGCTTTCGAAGTCGACGAATCACGCCTCGCCTTCCCTTATAAACTGGATGCACGGCTTTCACGCCATCAATGGCTTCAACTTGCTCCACCTGAGCATTGGTCAAGAGGGCCACCCAGCTTCGAAACGTGCTGTCCCGTATCCTCGGTTCCTTTACCATGTCATCGAGGAGGGCCTTGATGGAGGCATCGGTTGCGTTGTACTGATCCAAGTTCTGACCATCCACGGGGTAGATGGTGAATTTTCGATGTAGAGGATCGTCTTTCTTTGGACTCTTAAGCTTAGCCACGCGATCAATGCCATCATGCTCCTCCAGCTGAGCAACTTGGCTCGGCTCGGCCTCGACTGTCCACGACATCAACCGCCCACGGACGTTGGTCAAGGGGAGGAGGTCCTGATTGTTGACAGTTGACTTGATGAATTGCGTAGTTGCAGCGGTATCGGTATCTTGTTTGGGAAACACCCTGTAAAGGTCTTTGCCCTGCTCTGTCGCCATTCCGGAAGCGTGGTTCATATTGGCGGTGGATGAGGGAATGAGGAGGAAGAGAAGCCAAGGTAACGTCCCTCCCGCTAGTCGGAATGTAATGCTATGAGATACACGAGGCGAGGCGTAAGAAATATATGCCGTATCGAGTCTCTCGAGCGGGGTTGAACAAACCTTGATATGAATACGTGATGCATATCTCGAGTCTGTTGACGAGGCGGACATGATTGTAAGATCATGTCACGAGCTTGATCATTCATGACTCACTAAAGTACATATTACCCGTGCGGGTGTGCTGGTGTACGGAGGAGCATCAACTCGGCGGTGCCTGAACTCACAGCCCGGCATTTGAACTCTCCCTCTCCACCTGCAGGAGAGACAAGCCGCCGCCGAAATCTTTTCATTCTCATCACCGTTTCGAGTGAGGGGATCGAAAGGGTTAGAAGGAACAAGAATCAGAAATCGCCTAGCTGCTCCGATGGCGCCGACGATGGTGCTGGACCCGACCCCGGCCTTCGGTCATGGTGTTTGTTTTCGATCACCCCAACCCAGACCCTCCTTCGGCCCCATATTTTGCCGAGGCTGGCTAACGCGCGAGCTGATGGCGCGAACATGGAGCTCCTGCAAACTATCAACCACGACACCCAAGATGCCCAGACTGCAAACCCCATTAAAGCTTCGTTCCTCTTGCACAAGGCTACGGAAATGCACCGCCCGGCGGAAAGTACTGTTTCAACTGCTATATCCAATCCCGTGGCATTTTCCAGTTCCCATGCAGCGATCACCAAGCGACTATGACTCGATAGACACCAGCTCTTTACAGCCAAATATACTGCAGCTCCATAACATTCCTCTTTACCGCTTGCGAGATACCCCGGTGCGGTCGCTCTATCGCTTATATGAAGACCTATGCTCCGGGAACCTCATCATGATGGGTTACGAGTCCGACTACTTCTTCTACCATACCGAAAACAGCTGGCAACTATCCCAAGTCCCCGATCCCCGCGACACTGATCCGATCCGATACGCCGTGCTTGCCAGTCTGGTCGAGGCACTCGTCTCTGCCTTTAATTGGAAGCTGGAGCAAGGTCTGCGGCGGGACGGCACGCACAACGCTGACGGCAGCAGAGCAGTCGTCCATCTACAAGCACGACCAACTTGGACCGCCCAGGCACAACCTCTGCTGGAACGGCTCAACCTCGGAGCGAGCGAAAAAGACGGCGCTGACCCAGACTTTCTCAAGAGGAATATCGAGGCGCCAATGGGATACCTGTATTGTGTTTGATCTTGAGACTCGAGCCGGTAGCTAACGTGACAGCTACAAAGCCGCCGGCGCTCAATAGCCTGATTGGTGACACTGCCCGGAGGTTCTTGGACTTTGCTATCTCTTGATCCAATGCAGAGAGTGCTGGCAAAGTTTAGCAAAAGCAGACGACTAGTTTCGGGTTGGCCTGCCGTTACGGAAGTCCTCGGCAGAGAATTCCGTCTTGTTGGATGCCATGATGCTTGATTTGGTGTGTCGCGCCTGGGAGGCAGTGTCGCCCGCGAGGATGGTTACGACAACAGAAATGTTCCTCGGAACTCCAGGACCAATATTGACGCAGTTCTTATGGGGGTGGTCAGCGGCCTTGGGCCATCTGGGTTGTGCTGGGCCGGCTTGCATATGTCTTTGTACTTGTGACTTGGGTGACGGGGCAAGTCATCGTATCAGAGGTATCCGTCCACCAACAAGAGCAGAGTCCTAGCAATGGCGCCCTGGCCGGAGCCTTGTTGGAACCTCGTCCAGCTCATCCGGCCTTTTCCATGTCAGTCACCGTTTCCCGCAGCCTGATCAAGGGTCTGGCCGAACTGGCGATTAATGGAATAATATTATACTTGCCCGGGACATTGCAACGCGGGCGATGCTCTGAATGGCTAGAATTATGTATACTAACGGAAAGAAAACTATATATGCTCAAGTGCGTGTTTCTTTTCCATTTTGTCCTCGTTTTCCCTGACCTGCTTTTGTGTATTAAATGTCCCCCATGCGATCTTGTCTCAATAAACCATCAAGGGAAGGGGGGGGGGGTAATGAAAGTATGGCCCTGACGCCACGCTGTAAATGATGGAAAAAACAAAAAAGACAAATGAAAGGACGGATGTGTCAAGGTACAAGACTGGTGACATATTGTGCTGTCGTATATATCAAGAGAGATTCATCAACTTGCAATACGTTAATCGAGATCTCCGTATTCCCCTCCGTAAGGGTTCCACTCCTGTCCGGGATAACTCGTTGCGCTCATCTGAGGAGGCAGTTCTCCGTCCGAGTCGGCATTAGGGTCATAATGGATCTTCTCCTCCTGTGAGTCGATCCGCAGTGTGCGCTTCCGAGCGTCCTCTGTATCTTCCAGCTCGGCCGAGAAGGAGGGCCCTCCAGTCGCCTTGGTAACGATCCCATTGCCGTTGCTTTCGGGTGAGACGGCCTTGTCGTGTGTTGTTTCGTTTTGGACGGGCGCCGCGTTGATCGTGCCCTTTGGCTCCGGCGTTGGTTGAGACAGAAGGGCCGAGTTGACCGGGCTGATCTCGCCGTTCGAACCGCTGGGAGGGCTTAACGAAAGAGCGCGATGCTCTTCGGTCTTGGGTGCTGAGTTCTCACTCATCGCCACTACAGGTTGACCGCCGGCTGGCGATGCACTAGCAGCAGTCGCAGCAACCACAGGTACACCCCCAGCTGGAGGCAGAGACTTGGTAGCCTCGTTCTCGCCGGCGATCATCCTAGGGGATGTATATTGAACCGCGGGAGGAGGATTGCTGCCTAGCCTTGAGCTTCCGCTGCTTCCACCGCTGTGATGGCTGTCATTGCTTACAAGACGCTGCATGTCCGGCCTTCCTTGCCGGTTAGTATTAGCTGGACTACCTCTGTGCGCGAACGCCGGATGGCTTGGCTGCCCTCCTCTATTTCCTTGATACTCCGCGTTGCTGGGCTGATTATTGGCTGCCGGAGGCATGAACTGCTGCAATAAGGCTCCTTGATGGGGTGATGGCGCGTGTACGGGAATTGGCTGCTGAATGGGGATGGATGTTTGGACCGTGATCGGCTGCGGCTGTTGATGAGTGCTTTGCTGCATCATATGCCCCTGCTGGACGCGAGGGCTCGGGTGTGTCCTATTTAGGGATTGCCCAGTCATTCCTTGTCCCTGGGTAGGGAACTGGCCTGGCTGGTAAGGGGATGGAACAAACTGGCCTCCGGGGCTATGCGTTTGCGATTGCCACTGACCCTGAGGTTGAGGTGGAGATTGAAACTGACCCTGGGTCTGGCGTGGTGACTGGAACTGACCTTGGATTTGGCGTTGGGGAAGAGATTCGAACTGGCCTCGTGGGAGAGGGGGTGATGGGAATCGATCCTGAGGCCTGGGAGGGGATTGAAACTGGCCCTGAGTCTGAGGAGGAGAATGGAATTGGCCCTGGTGTTGTTGAGGAGACTGGAACTGACCCTGCGGTTGAGGCGGGGACTGGAACTGGCCTTGTGGTTGAGGGGGAGACTGGAATTGGCCCTGAGGTTTGAAGCTGTAGCCGGGATACGGCTGGCCCATACCAGGCTGACCTTGGCCAATGGGTCCTGGAGGTCTCTGGAACTGATGCTGGCCCATGGGTGGACTAGTGAACTGGGAGGACTGTCGTGGGGTCTGCATCTGTCCAACAGGTGGGCTACTAAATTGCTGAGAGGATTGCCGTGGAGTTTGCATCTGGCCGACTGGAGGGCTGCCAAACTGAGAAGACTGTCGTGGAGTCGGCGTTTGCCCGTAAGGGGGCTGACCAGGGATCTGCTGACTCTGTTGTCTCCCCTGGAAACCTCCCTGGAACCCCCCCTGGAAAGAGTGTTCGGCAGCCGGTGCTTGCTGAGGAACCTTGGAGCTTCGTTTAAATGCCCCGAGAATCTTGCTCGCAGACAGCTTCTCTCCTTCCGGCTTGCTCTGACTGGATGATGGCTTATGTACCGCCTGCCCCGACATTCGATTCTTCAGTCCCTTCCACTTAGACGACGTGGGAGTGCCTTGACGAGGTGCTTCCACGGCATAAGGCTGAGGTGGGTGACCCATGTTATCCTTTGGAGGTACTTGAGGTCCGACGGAAGGCTGCATCTGCATCGAAGGACGCCCAGGGGCCAAAGATGAAGGGTGCGGGCTTGGTTGGCCACGGATACCGCCCGGCTGTTGCTGACTGGGAACGCTTTGCTGACCGCCCTGCTGAGGATTAGAAACCTGCGGTTGGAACCCTGGGGGGAACTGCTGCTGGTATTGCTGTTGTGGCGACATGCCTATGCGAGTGGAGAACGGTTGGTGTTGCGTTGGTGGAGTATGAGATGCCATGGACAACGCGGGCGTGTTCGGCTGTGACGTTTGCGAAAGCTGAGAGGATTGTCTCCTTCCCGTAGCTGGCCCGGATGTTGCCAGTCGAGGGCTTTGCCCTGTAGCAATAGAAGAGACTGATGGCGGTCCCATGTTAGACACCTGAGAAACTGGAGATAGAGGCAAGTCATCTCGGGTAGTATTCTCAACGCGACCATTAGCCGGCCGAACATCAGGTCGAAACGCCATAGTAGGTGAGCCGGTAGCAGGCTGTTGAGCCTGGCCACCGACTTGTCCAGGCCGAACCAGCTTATCCAGGGATTGTGTTGAATTGTGGTAGGCACCATGCGACATCGGGGCAGGGCGAACTGCCGAGGCTGCGGGTGAGGTCGATCGCATTCTGCCAGATCCATTGTCAGAGAGGACCTGCCCGACACTGAAAGGAGTCTGCGGCGTCCCATGACGACTTGGGGCGTTCGTTGTGCCGATAGGGGGTGTTCCCCCTGGCGTTGTTGACGGCCCAAAACCTAGCGGCGACGGACGAGAATTTTGGTAGGCGACTTGAGCCTGCTGCTTCTGTCGAGGTCCGCCTGAGGGGGGTCTGTCAGGGGACGTCGGAGTCTGCTCAAGCAACGAAGAGGTTCCAGTCATCCGACGGAGCATAGGAGGCTGCTGGTTTCCAAACTGCTGAGGCCTCTGAGGCTGAGGGCTGGCAATTGTTGGGCTTGCAAGTTGGGGACTATGGACTTGTGCCCCAGCAACTTGGGGACTAGCAGGGTGCGATCCCGGAAGTAGGGGGCTACCAAGCTGTGGTCCAGGAAGCTGAGGGGTTGGAAGCTGAGGGCCTGAAGGGCGACGGCCCTGTGGAGGACCTTGAGGTTGATCCTGGGTTTGCAGCCTAGGCAGCTGGGGGTTGCCGACTTGAGGCCCGGAAGGTTGGCGAACCTGTGGTTGTTGCATTGGAGGCTGCTGCATCTGGGGCTGTTGCATCGAAAGCTGTTGTCCCGAAGATGGTCTAACCGGCGCAACCTGATGCTCTTCCTTATGCTTACCGCCATGACCTAACAACCCAGAGATCAACCCGGCCGCTGAACCTCGTCTCCTGCGGCGTTCCTGGGGATCAAGCGGCTGCGCATTCGCTGGGGTGGGCTGCTGCATCTGCCCGAGTGACGGCCCGGCCGTGTTACTCCTCTCGAACCCAGGGTGAGAGAACTCTGGACGCTCCAAAGACGCTTGTTGTTGGAGTGCAAGCTGGCTTGACACAGGCCTTGAGGAGTTGGGGGTCCCCGGTTTGGGCGTCATATCTCCACTTGGACGGTGGTGGAAGACACCAGCAACTGCAGCCTTGGTGTTGAAACCCGAGAATCTCTTCTTGGAGAGAGGCGTGCTTGTACCAGGCTCGTTGGCCAGGTTTGACGTAGACGCGCGTGGAGGGCCGCTGGGCCTGTGATGGTGGCCAGTAAGGGCACCGAGACCTGTACCGAAGCGAGATAGCTTTCGTTCTTCCGGCGACGTCTCTGGTCTGGCTTCATCTGGACGAGGAGGAGGTCCCATCAGTCCATCTCTGCTCTTCTGTCGCCCGTGGTCTGTCGAAGGGCGGTTTCGCAGTCCAAGCATGAAGCTCGACCTCGCCTTCTTACGATCTTGCATTTCATCTGTGGTGATGCTGGACACGGAAGCCCCGTCACCTGGCAGATGCGGCTGGTCAGGCGCATGAGACTGGGAAGGTTGTTGCTGATGCTGTTGTTGTTGCTGTGGCTTGGGCTCCACAGACGTGCCTCGGCGCTCAGATGATCCCCTTCTAAATCGACTGCCAATGTCCTTGAACAACGCCGATGCCTTTCTTGAACGACCACGTTCCTCCTCTGGACCTCCCGTTCCAGTTCGCGTAATACCTGCCTCGTTAGACAGCCGTCTCATAAACTGCGGAGTAGGGCCAGGAGGTCCGTCATTAGGAGTTTGCTGTGCTTGCGGCTGTCCTGGAAAGAGGCCTGGGTATCTGTTTGCAGATGATGGAGGCGTTTCACTTGGCTTCTGTCGATGTTGGAACGGCTTGGATCCAGGGCTGGTAGTTACAGGGCTTGTGGGCGAAGGCAGATCAATCCCGGTCTCCTTGTCATATCCGAAATAAGGCTCCTGGTGTGAGCTGCTAGTACCGGCACGGTTTCTGTTAACGATATGGAGAGGCTCGGCCAGGTGGCTTTCTTCTAGCTTCCATTGACCAGATGGGGGAAGCTGCTGCGGCTTAGGAGTAACACGGTGGAGAGGCTCGGAGAGATGGCTCTCCTCCAACTTCCACGGTCCGGAGGGGGGAAGTCTGTGAATAGGATTGCCACCCATCATGTTGGGTGGCATCATGGGCCGGGGTCCAAACTGTGGATGCTGAGGTGGCATAGGGCCATGGTGGACTGGGTGCATCTGGAATGGATGCTGCCCTTGGGAATGAAGAGGTGGCTGAGGTTGTTGCTGAGGTTGTTGCTGAGGTTGTTGCTGAGGCTGCTGCGGCTCTTGCTGGGCAGTTGGGGCATCTGCAGGAGCCTGCTGCTCTGGTTCATCGACATCTTTCTCAAAATCCTTACCGGCTATCAGAGAGTCTGTACCAACCAAGGTTGAACCAACCGTGACCTCGGAAGTGAGTGTTCCATGCTGCCCAGCAGCTGCATCTTCGTCAACATCGGTAGAAACCCCTTCAGTGATCGTCTCAGTGGGCTTTGACTGAGCGGGGTTTGTGGTTACGTCAAATGTTGAGCCTCTCCTAATCAATGGCAACCCAACGAAAGACGACTGCCGTTGAGGCATACTTGCCTCATTCTGGGTTTGGGGAGGGGCAGCAGCAGGGACTGGTTGAGAGGGGGTAGCAAAGGCAGATGTAGGCTGCTGGGACGAAGTTGCGAACGCTTCCGGCGGCACCATACGGATTCCTCCAGTATTGGCAAGAGTAGGTGTCGCGTCACCAGACACCGGCTTACCAGATGGTACTTCAGCGCCACGGCTTGTCTGGCCATGATCTTCTCGGTTCCTAAGCAAGACTCCAGAGTGTTCCGAAGCATCGTCCTTACCAAGGTCCGTGCCCTTGAAGGGATCCCAGGTAGAGTTGTCATTGTCAGGCGTTGGGATTTGCCATTCCGTCCTATCTTCTTGATCCCTACTGGGAAGGGTTGCCGGTCCGGTCATGGGTGGGGGTCCGTAGCTCTCTCGTGAAGCAAGTCGATTACCAGGGTCACCATGTTGAGGTGCAGGGACAAAGGGAGACACAACAGACGATTGGGAGGATGGGGGAGCCTGGTGCAGTTGGGTCGGAGGCCTCGTATACATCATGTCTTTCTCGGCTTGCGATGCAGATTCATCAGCGCGGGACTTTGCTCCAAGGCTCAGGCCCCATGACGTGCGTCTCTCATTCTTGGTCTTGATTTGCACCGGGGGAGGGATGGGTTCGCCCTGTCAACCAAAGAAACATTAATAAACATTCTCGTCACATACAGCCTGATGGATGGGCAACAGCATGGTGACATGTGGGAAAGGGGGAAAAGCGTCGTAGAATTCCTATCTCATACACCCGTCTCGTCATAAGGCCAAGAGTGAAACATCAGCCCCGAAGCGCATGATGAAGAGAGAATAAACCCAACAATTACCCTGCTCGGAGTGAAAAAGGAAGAAGCCCATCGCAGCAGGTTCTAGAAAGAGAAGCGTCAGTGAAATACCTTGTCCCCGGTTCCGCGCAATTTGCTCCTCCCCTTGCTGAACAGTCCCTTGCCCATCTTGCCAGCCGAGTGCATGAATTCCTTGCTCTTGGTACCCAGCTGGTTACCCGAGTTTCCAAAGCTGCTGGAGCCGGATGGTGCTGGCAGGGGCAAGCCGCCCAATCGAGATCGACCCGCTGCCGGAGCCGTCGTGGTCGGAGAGCTTGCGTTGAGATACTGCTGGTAGTATGGCTGTTGTGAGTGAGATCCGCTTGGTGTTGAAGCATGCCCTCCCTGGCTCGAACCAGGAAGACCAGCTCCCGAGAAAGAGCCAGTTGCGTGAGCATACTCGGGCTGTTGAGTCATCAGGTTAGAGAGCCAATTCTCTAGACCTGACTCCCACGCGGCGTATGTAGCCCGGCCTGCATCAAACTTGAGAGTTCTTTGAAGGGGGGTCGAAAGATTCATGATGTCGCGGAACGGAATGGTTTGAGGAAACTCGCTCGGGGGGAGCACCAGAGTCTGTGGTTGTGGTTTCTCAAGGGGTGGTGTGGCTGACGCAGTGATGGTTGATGGTGTTGGTATGAGCACCTTGTCTTCAACCCCAGTCCCGACACGGTCAAGACCTTGAGGTGTGCTCTCATCAGTTCTAACGGAAATAGGAGACGGAGGCTCAAGAACAACTGGTTGCTGTGTCGGAGGGAGTGTGCTGGCTTTGGAAACCTGATGAGAGATCCCACCTGACGGCGGAACGACGATCATGGGAGTATCGACAGGCCCCGGAGAGCTCCTTGATGGACCAGCGGGTTCGGCTCCAACATCCCTAGGAGCCTGAATAGCAGACGCAACAAGTGGCGAGGGAATATTGACAGTGGGAGTCTCGTTCTTGGATGAGCCTTCAGCCGGTGACTCGCTCTTAAAAAGATTGGGCGAAGGGCCAAAATCAGCCTCCCAGGAAAACTTTCGGCGCAAACCTAGGGAGTCTTGTTCCGCATTGTCCTCAGCCGGTGGAGGAGCAGGGCTGGATGTGCCGGAGCCAAGGGCCTTCCGCTCTGGGACTGGAGCAGGAAGTGAAAGTGGAGCAGCTGCCGGAGCAGGGACTGGCTGTGGCTTCTCGTGATCCTTCACCTCGTTGTTCGCTTCTTGTGCTGGCCTCTCGGTCGTATCAGCCCAATAATCATCGTAGCCGCTTAGAGTGTAGCTGCTATTCCTCGTATCGTTTCGGCTACCTGGGGTCAAAGACTGCGAGTTGTCTGGTGGGGGAGCCAGGGCAGAGCTCTGGCCGATCGGACTCAGGGACTTCATGATCTCCTCGCTCAACATGTCGCTTTCCTTAACAGGCGACGCATTGAAAGTGCTTGTGGTCTGTTGTGTCTGGGCCGATTGAGGCTCGTAGTCTGAAGGGGAGTATTCCGGTACACGAGGCTTGAGAGGCTCAGGGGGTGTAATCTCGGGCAGCTTGGACTGGGGAGAGCCAGAAAGTGCTGCCACCTCCAGGGACTTGGTATGAGGACTCGGCGTGCGTAGAGGCGGAATGGCTCGGGGATCATTCGCAGGTGCGAGGGCCGGGTTTTGAGAGATGGCCGCAACCCTTGGGCTATCCACGTTTTCTTTGGGGGCCTCGTCGATCGTGGGAATCTCGTGGGTTGAGCTTCTATCGGATTGTGACTGAGGAGCAGGGGCGACTAGTGCTGGTGCGGGGGGCTGTTCCTGCTTTACAGGATCCAGGGGCGCTGAAGGAGGAACTGAACTTGACGAGGAAAAAAAGTCGTCCCCGAAGCCCGACATCCGCAACATGCTGGGTAGCTGCGGGCTGACGGACATTCGCTTGCGATCTATACCTGCGGCTGGGTGAATCACGGGCTCTTCCTTAACATCGCGGGCTTCCTCGTACAGAGGTCGACTTTCGGCCGCTGGCGCATTGTCGAAGCTTCGTTGCGCGAGCTCAGAGTCCTCCCTTTTAGCGAGAATACTATCGAACGTCGGCTGCTTTTGGATTGGCTGATTAGCAGGACCATCTCCTTGGTTATAATTCTGCCGGTTCGGCTCGTTCAGTGGTGGCGTTGCTCGATCAGTCGGTTTCGCCGCAATAGCTTCGGCAATGGATAGAGGTGAGCCACCCAGTCTTCGGTCCTCGTCCACGTGACGATACAGTTCAGACGGTCGAATCGCGGGAGAAGCGCGAGCACCAGAGCTGGCGGTGCTTTGTGGCGTGGAAGATCGGACATCGGGCTGGTGATAGCTGGGGGCCTTTGACGATGCTGCGCCGGAAGACGCGGGGGCGGGTGAGCCGGTTCGTCCGGCTCCCAGTGCAGCAGCATTGTGGACTTGCTCGGGGCCACGGGCAGGAGCGGCAGTCGAGGGAGAAGCATTCTCCTGGGTCTGGATGTGCAACGAGGGCGGGCCGCTGGAGCTCTGTGAACTTGATGCCACAGCGGCGGCCAGCATCGGGGAGGGGCCGTAGGATTCGGACCGTTGGCCAACGGGACGGAGGCCCGTGGTGACCCGAGGAACAGGAGGCGGCGGCGGCGGCTCGTCGTCTTCGAACTCGTCGGCACCCCAGTCATCACCGTCATAGTTCTGAACGGGCGCTTGGACCCATTTTCTCGTCTTCTGGCGGCTGACGTTGACCTGGTATGCTCCGGCCGAGGGAGTCTGAGGGGATCTAGAGAAGTAGCAGGTTAACACGCGGCCACCAATCGAGAGTGGCAAAGGCCATTTACAATGGAGATTGCGCTTGCGCGTAGGGGTTATTGTATGTCCCGTCCATAACGTGCGTAGTATGTAGCTGCTCAGTTATCGGAGCATTCTCGTCGGGTATCAAAGCTGGTGAGGGCTGAACACCGTTTCCAGGCGATGGATGTAGTTCGGCAGTATGCGAACGGAGTTGGGATTAGGCGCGACAGCCTACTTATCGAGCTCGGCAGTGATGAAGATCGGCGGGAGGAGAAGATGCGTAACGGGCGATCGGACGTGATGGGGAGCTTAGAATACAGGGGCTGCGCGGGAAATGAAGGAACAGAACAGAAACGACGATGTAAATGAAGATGCAAATACACTCAGAATGAAGAATATGATGGAAACAGAACAAACAGATAGGACAAAGGCGACAGATGGCGATACGATGGTGATGGAGCAAGGAGGCGGTGGTCGGGGAGCAAATGGTGCGGTCAGGCACTTTTGTTAGGTCGTGCCAGTGGTAGTAGGTCGCCCGTTGGAGATTGGATGACGGAGGGTGATGGGGCACTTCCGGGCTCTGGCATCACCTGGGGGCCAAGAAGACAAGGAACAACGGCCGGCAGCAGCACGCACCAAGCAGGTACCCCATTCGCCCAGCCTCGCAGAATTTCGTACGAAATAACGGAGAACACGGCAGCAAAGAGAAGCTAGAATCCTCCACTCAACGGAAGCCAGCGTCGAGGAGGCAGAAAAAAAACAGGGGATGGGCTGACCGAGGAATGGAGACTATCAGCGGAGTCGGCCAACGCATGTAGAGCGGCAGCGAAACAGCGCTACGGGGTTACGAGATCAGTTGCGACTCCGCGTTAGTGCCACGCTCATCAACAATACCCGAAGCTGGTAATTAACACACGCGCACGCGAAACATGGATCAAGGGGCCGGTTACGAGCTGGTGACTGACGTTCTGCAGCTTCTCTGAAACTGGAATGGCTGTAAGTGTCACGACGAGTTGAGCAAGAAGCACATCTACGAGCTCTAGAGCTCTCTTCTGCTGACGTAGTGCAGGTTCATTAATCGGACTCCCGTTCCAGCGCCGAATGGCACCTTGGCCAGCCAGCCTCCACCCAGGTACAAGGAGAATGCCGCCCAAGGTCCCCATTCCTCCACTTGCTTCTGGAAATGTACATAAATTGAAAGCTTGAAGGGTTCGTCACTCAATGTGGCTCAGTCTACCGACCTACAAACCAGGACTAACCCGCAAGCCCCTGGATACTGTCCGTATGGGTCTGAGAATGCAGGCTCGGGACGGCAATCGTCAAGAGCAAATTTCCCAAAAAATGGCCATGCAACCTGTTCACGCAGCCTGCCGATCTCGTTAGTTGTCTTGTCTCCTCTCTCCTCTCTCTCTGCTTGATTGCGGGGGATCACAAGACGTAACAAACCCGTTGCACTTTCAAGCGCGTCGCACGTAGCACACCAACCACGCACGTACCACGGCCACCACTGCGCCGGACCCTTGGAAGACAACACACGCAAGCCCCGTCCTCGTAGTCGGGAGGTGACGTCGAGTGGTGTCGAGGGGTGACACGTACGCGGGACAAGAAATAATCGAGGCGCCAGAGCGACAAAGGACATCTAACACGTCCTATACTATGACTTTATAATGAATTCGAATACGAATAATAATGATTAGATGGTGGAAGAATAAGCTATTAAATGCATTCTATAGATTGTTTTGTAATAATTTATTCCACACTGAAAGGCATCCTTAGGAAGTACAAGTTGATCTTTGTACTAGTATCTTAATTTTTCCCTGACGCGCGTGATAGGTACGTTCTTGGGAAGATCTCAAGTCGGTCATCGGCTCTTTCATTCCCCGAACTCAGATCCAACTGGTAAGCATTGCCAGTGATTGCGCTCCTTATTTCGTTTTGTCTGCGTCTCATCGTTTCTTGTATCAGCGACGCTCAAGTTCAATGTGAGCCTAAACCAGCCAATCATGGGATTTCCTACATCCATCTCACCCTCCTCAACATTGCGACCATCACGGCAATAAAAGTGAGACGAAACTCCATAAGTAAGAAGTGCCTTAACATTGCCGACGTTTAGTCAAATAGACAAGGTCTCCCAGTCCTCATTCTGCTGTTGTTATTTCCAATGACGTCTCCGTCGAGCACAATATCACTCATTCTACTTCAGGGCATCAGGGCTCAAAAGGTGACACTGGCCAAAGAGTTCCAGCAAGACACAGAAATATTCGTCTATATTCATCCGGCAGCCGATCTACCCTCTAATTTCCAGACACCCTCGTTATATTTTACTTCCTACGCCATGCGAAACCGCATCAGCCTCTGTGCAACGCACTGAGATGGTGAATGCCAACAAAAAGAGAAACATGTGTACGTGTAAGCGCGTCACAGCCCAGGCACAGTACTTGGGCCTCCAACACGCCTACACGTCCGTAAAGTTATAAAGAAATCACTGCGATTTACCCTTGGTGCCCTCGTAGTAGTGGGCCATCTGGAGACCAGCTCGTCGGAAGCCACACTTGACGTAGAAGCCCTCGTTGGCCTCGCTGCAGTCGAGGATGCTCTTATAACAACCGACCTGCTCAGCGACGTAGTCGAGGGCTTGGATGATTCGGAGACCCAGCTTCTTGCCTTGCTGGTCCTTTGCGACGGCGATATCCTCGATGTGGCCGACGGCGCCAAGGTTGTGGATGCTGCAGGGAGAGTTGGTCAGTTGCCCATGCCAGCTTGGAATGGAGTCAGATTGGCTTACAATTTTCGCTCAACGATGAGAGCCCCAGTTCCAACAACAGGGCGCTCTGCGCGAGTGGTGTCCTCAATGATGATGATGTAGTAGCTGCCAGCAACGGCCATGTCGTCGTACTGCTTCGCAAAGTCGGCCTCGCTGATCTCGCCAACAGTGGTCAAGACTCGCAGGCAGTCAAGGAAGCCACTGTCAAAGTCGGACTTTCGTAGAGCGCGCAGAGTGTAGCCATCGGGCAGAGCAGCCTTGACCTCAGGGGAGAGGAGGTTGGCGCTGAAGATGCCTTCTTGAGCCATGGCGGTGTCGATTTGGCGGGGTTTCGCGGGGTCGATCGGAGGGGGAGAAGGGAGGTTGGCAGCGAGCGATTCGAGGGATTGCGCGACAGATAGGAAGCAATTGTCGAGTAGAAGCAAGGAAACGATGCAAGAAACAATATGCACGCAGGGTAAAAGTGTCCTATAAGCTGGCAAAGGTCTGGCGGGGGCTTGATAGGGGGATTATGTCAATCGCATCTATGGATCGCTTACTCCGTATACTATTTCGAGAAGCACGCTGAGTGGCGGTTTCACGCTGACTCCACTTGAGTGCAGGGCGGACCTGAAAGGCACGGCAATCTAAGTGAATCTTTCTCAAGCTTCATAGTTGCAGCGATGCCCAAGATTCGCAAAGCTTCAGCAAGTATTCACTTCAACTATGCCTTAAGACTAAAATGATGAGATCGAAGTGAAGCTGTCAAGTCCATTCCGTACGTATTCTTTTAGTTTGCTTCACACCCACGTGCTGAACAAACACCAATTAGGTTCACGAGGTTGTCTGAACCTGGCCTCGCACTCGACAAAAGATAGGCGAGAACTTTACGGCAACTCCTCGCACAGCGCTGTCCTCGATCGCTTCTTGAGGCCCATCTCCATGTTCAACATTGATACGAAGGACATGTATCACTGCAACCTCCATCCCGAGCGAGTCCAATCCGTCAAGCCACGCAATCACGAATAGCACTAGCCACAGCGGAAATACCTCGGCTCAACATTCAAAGGAGCCAGCGTGGCGGTTCGACGTCTGTGCTTTCGGCCTGGAACCAAGTCTCCAAGACAAACCAACGACACGTCCCGAATCCCCTTTCAGGCGCAGAAACGCCAAACCTCATTTGTCTCTGACATTCTTGGTTGCGTAGCCTCTTCTCCGTCCCTGCAGCGCGCAACTCTATTGCACGCCTAGCTTTCTCTTGCAACTGTATTCAACTCAACTTGGTCAGACTCTTCGCTATCGAGGCAACTAATAATACTCTACCTCTATTTTAATATCTTGCAATTCGCTTCCGCGTCATCTCCCGCCCCCAATCACCATTCACCCGTCCGAACCGAGACTTGATCCGGCCCCTTCCGCACCGATCCAGCACCATCAACGAGGCCGAACATCACGACTTGGCGCCTCATAATCAACAGCTGTTTGGCGTTTAGGTGGCATATCCCTCGCCACCCTTACTTTCGCCGCGAACTGCTCGAGAACCGAAGCCGCGCTGGCCGCAGTCCTCCCCTCCCTCGAGCCCATCTTCAACCCCTCATAATTCAGTCACGATGGCTGTCGCATCTATCCAAGACCGAACCTCCGAGTTCAAGTCGGTGCTCGCCCAGGCGCAGCGCAAGCAGGCCACCTCCAAAGTCAGCTCTCAGCGCCGGTCTCTGCTGACCGACGCGCAAAAGAATGCCGCCAACGGCAATGCTGACGGCCGACCGAGGCGATCTGACTTTGCCAGAAAGGCAGCCGAGATTGGCCGTGGCATTTCGGCGACTATGGGCAAGCTGGAAAAGCTAGCACAATGTGAGTTTTTGTCTTATCGGAGGCAGTCGTTCGGTGCCTCGCTGCGCGATTGTTTTGATCGCCAAAAGCTAATTTCAGGAAATAGTGGCGAAGCGACGTACCCTCTTCGACGACCGGCCAGTCGAGATCAACGAACTCACCTTCGTTATCAAGCAGGATCTGTCGTCTCTCAACCAGCAGATCGGTGCCCTACAGACACTCTCCAAGAGCCAGCACCCGACGGCCGACCAGGAGGGCGAACACAACAAGAACGTTGTATATCTGCTGCAAGGCAAATTGACTGATGTCTCGGTCAACTTCAAGGATGTTCTGGAGGAGAGAACCAAGAATATCCAGGCTTCGCGATCAAGAACGGAAAACTTCATCTCGTCAGTGTCGCAGCATGCACAACCATCTATCCAACAGTCCGCCTCTCCGCTCTACGGAACACCCGCCCGTAACTCGCCAGCCCCAGGCCAAGACACGCTCTCCCTCAACCCCGTGGGCGACCAGCAATTGTTGATGATGGAGGAGGCCCAACCGACCAACACATACATCCAACAACGAGGAGAGGCAATCGAAGCGATCGAGAAGACGATTAGCGAATTGGGCAGCATCTTTGGACAACTAGCGACCATGGTGTCGGAGCAGAGCGAGATGATCCAGCGCATCGATGCCAACACGGAGGATGTGGTGGACAACGTTGAGGGAGCGCAACGAGAGCTACTCAAGTATTGGTCTCGAGTATCAAGCAACAGATGGCTGATCGCCAAGATGTTTGGAGTGCTGATGGTATTCTTTTTGTAAGTGTTCACATCCTGCCTCGAGGCGGCTAGGCTTGAGGTCCTGGCCGTGCTTCGACGGTGTCCCCTAACGAGATGATGATTGCTAACATGCCACAGGCTTTGGGTTCTTGTGTCGGGCTAGACCTTGGATCATGAAAGAAACAATGACGCACGACGAGAAGAGGTGGGATCGCAAAAAACCAGGGACATGGAGAGTGGAGTTTTTGGCACATCTTTGTTGTAATGGATATCACCGACCGGTGCATTCTCTTTTCTTTTCCATATGTATGTATGTATAGTTTCCTGTCGTTTCCTTAGAGCCCAGACGAGGACGGCATAGAGAGAGGCGAGAGTCTCGGCGAAAGACTCTTGGGATACCCAGATTGGGGGTTTCATAATTACTGCTGAATCAGTAGAACAGCAATATTTTCTCCAGCCGCCGAGTGATATGTCGTGGGTGAAGCTTAGATATCCACCAACCAAGAGCCAGAAGAAGAGTATTTAAACGGGCTCGAGGCCTCGAAACGCGGGGCATCCCAGAATGATACTGATTCTGTGACCAACGATCAGTCAGTTGGCGTTTCAACAAGCTCCCCGTCTGTCAAGAGAGCAGCAGTTTGTCAGACGTTGGGGGCAGAGTGTCCAACAGGCCGGAAGACTGACCGGGGTTCTTGCCGACTCGATCCACCCTGTGGCGGCCACTATGAGCATCGTGCGGCGCCAATCAAGCGTGTACCTACATCCAGCATGCAGCAAAAGACGGAAAAGCCTGTGATTCCGCATGGATAAAGCACGAGAAGGAGAGGCATGATGCGTGGCTGCTACCCCCTCGGACCAACCCCACCCCGAGAAACGGGCGCGAATTCTCCGTCCACCGATGCCGACGCCCTCGTACCAGTACATCATGACTCGGCTCCACCGACTGGACCTCACACACCCCAAACCTTTGTCTCTTCTCCTTTGGGGCCCCGCCATGGACCATGAAAAGTGACGGAGCTTGGTGGGGTCCTGCTCGACTCGACTCGGCTTTGACCCCGCGGATCATCAGAGGAGATTGGGGGGAAGAAAGGGTCATGAGCTTGAGGGGAGTGGGATGAGCTGCTGCGTGGAAAGCTAGATTGTTCATGATGGGGACGCGATTTATAGCCGCAAGGGTGCCCGCTTCTGTGGGAGCTTCTTTTCTCCCTCTGCTCTTGACTCGATCTCTTCCTTCTTCTTCATTCTTCGTCTTTAGACAACCCCCACTCTCTTCCACCCGCTTCAAGATTCACACAATGGCTCCCACCAGCTTCAAGCTCAACAACGGTCAGGAGATTCCTGCCGTTGGTCTCGGTACGTGTTATTCCTGAGTGATTTTGCTCTTTGGAAGCTTTGAGCGAGTCAATTGACTAACTCTCGCTCGCCGACAGGCACCTGGCAGTCCGCCCCCGGTCAGGTCGAGGCCGCTGTCGCCTTCGCTCTCAAGGATGGCTACAAGATGGTCGACTGCGCCTACTGCTACGGCAACGAGGAGGAGGTCGGCGCTGGCCTCAAGGCTGCTTTCGACGCTGGCGTCAAGCGCGAGGACATCTTTATCGTGACCAAGGTCTGGGCTACTTACAACACCCGCTGCGAGCTGGCTCTCGACAAGTCCCTGAAGGCTCTCGGTCTCGACTACGTTGATCTCTTCCTGGTGGTGAGTTGCAATTTTCCCTTGGTAGAAAAATGGTTACTAATGAATGCAGCACTGGCCTCTTCTCCTCAACCCTGAGGGCAACCATGACAAGTTCCCCACCAAGGAGGACGGTTCCCGAGATGTTATCCGATCTTACAACCACGTCGATGGCTGGAAGCAGATGGAGAAGCTTCCCGCTACTGGCAAGACCAAGGGTGTTGGTGTCTGCAACGTAAGCTTTCCCCTCCTCAATTTAACACAGAGCTCGAGACTAACACTTCACTACAGTATAGCAAGCGATACCTTGAGGAGCTTCTGCCTCATGCCACCATCATCCCCGCCGTCAACCAGATCGAGAACCACCCAAGCCTTCCCCAGCAGGAGATTGTCGACTTCTGCAAGGAGAAGGGTATCCACATTGAGGCCTACAGCCCTCTCGGCAGCACTGGCGGTCCCGTCATGACGGCTGAGCCCGTTGTCAAGATTGCCGAGAAGAAGGGTGTCTCTGCCTCTACCGTCCTCCTCAGCTACCACGGTAAGTTTCCAAATCTGTATCAGAGTTGCAATTCGTAACTAACATACAAATCCAGTCGCCCGTGGCAGCACCGTCCTCGCCAAGTCCGTCACCCCCGAGCGCATCACCGCCAACAAGACCATCGTTGACCTCGACGCCGACGACCTGAAGCTCCTCAACGACTACTCGGACGACCTCACAAAGAAGGGTGAGCTGAAGCGATACGTCTACCCTCCCTTCGGTGTCGACTTTGGCTTCCCCGACAAGTCGTGACTTCAAGGAAGGTTGTAGATTTACGATAAAGAGTTAGGAATCGCGGTTTTGGATGAGATTATGAGATAAAAGTGAGATGATGATCACACAATGCCGTTTATGTAATAGACTAGAGGCTCTACAGAGGCTTCATGAATGAATAAAAACACTCTCATAACCCATCGTCCATGTGCTCCCCTTGCGCTGCAATTGATGTTATTCACGTTTGGTGAACGGAACAGACATTTAGCATGGTGAAGGCCGTCCTTAATGAATTTGTGCAAGATTCTTAATCCTTTTGTTGCTCATTCATCGATCATGATCTCTTGTCTGTGTGCCTCGAGGCATTCTTCCTGGTTGCAAACTGCCCCGCGTTGCTTCATGGCGGGGTTCCGTAGTCGGACCTCATTTTCCGCTTGTCGAACTCGGCCCAGAATCCCATAGTCTTGTACGAACTGCGACTTGAGCCGTTCCGTTCTTGTCGGGTTTCGGAATCCGAGGACCTCAGAAATACATTTCATCTTGTATATCATGCCTTGAGCCTTAGGCCCAAGGATGAAAGCTCCTTGCTTGTTGACCAACAACCTGCATACCCTGCACCTCAGATTCAAAGCAGCAAAAATACGAATGAATCATGAAATCCATATACTACTGTTATTTTGCTAGCAAACTACCCATCCCAAAGACACCATTTGTCAACATTCGCCGTTTTCCCCAAATCTATAAACACGCCCAAATCTCAACAACCAAATCTACAGCCGGGGAGAGTCCCCGTTGCTCGAAGTATCGACAACCACCTTTATCACAAGGTTACCGCTCTCGTCCTTGATCTTGCCCGCCATTTTGAAGGCCTCCTCGATGCGGTCCAGGCCCTTGTAACGCTGGGTCACGAGGCAGCTAATGTCGGGCATACCGGCGGGCGGGTTGTTGAGGAGGTCGATGATCTGGCGGTAGGTGTTTGCGTAGCGGAAGACGCCGATGAGGTCGACTTCACGGAGGGAGGCGGCGGACATGGGGAGGGTGAGGATGGGGGTGCCCATGCCGATGATCATGACCTTGCCGCCGGGCTTGGTGGCCTAGTAGAAATGTGTTAGTGGCTTGTCAATGAATCAGATTGCAGTCATAGACTTACATAGATTGCAGTTTGCACACATGTCTCAACACCGGTGCACTCGTAGACAGCTGTAACTTCTCCAACAGCCTCTCCGTTAACTTGGGTCTCCTTGACCATAGCGGCCACCTTCTGGGCATAGGCGAGCTTGTCCTCGATAGTCTGGGGGCGCTCCATGGGGACAACCACGGAAGCGTCAGCGAATCCATTGGAGGTAGCAAAGTCAACACGGTCCTTCAGAATATCGGCGATAATGACGGTCTTGGCCTGATCGGCCTTGGCGACGGCGGCTGCGAGGAGACCAACAGCACCGGCGCCGAGAACCAGGACAGTTGAGCCCTTGGGGAGAGCGGCGCGGTCTCGGGCGTGCATGGCGACGGAGAGAGGCTCAACGAGAGCACCGAGATCGAGGGAGACATTTTCGCGCAGCCTGAGGTCTTGTTAGAACGACTTTAAGCGATCTAGAATGAGAAATACCTACTTGTGACACCACTTGGCAGGATGGTTGATCTTCTCTTGGAGAGTTCCCTGGGCATGAGGGTTTGCCTTGGCTGAGCTGCGGAACTTCATGCCCCGGCAGATGTTGTACCGACCCTCACCGCAGAGCTCACAGGACTCACAGGGCAGACCGACCTCGAGAGCAACGCGGTCTCCAGGGACGAGGTTGGTGACGTCTGAGCCAACAGCGACAACTGTACCGGCGGACTCATGGCCGAGAGTCAAGGGCTCACGGACGATGATGTCGCCATTGCGAAAGTGGTTGTAGTAGTGAAGATCGGAGCCACAGAGGCCGGTGGACTGGACGGTGACCTGGACTTCGTTGCTGGCAGGCTGTGGAAGCTCTCGCTCTTGCTGTACGATGATTAGCTTGGCCAAGCTTCCCAGATAGCTCAACTTACAATACGGAGATCCTTCTCGCCGTGGAGGACGGAAGCTCTTACACGCTCAGTTGCCATTGTGGAGGATATGTGAAAAGGTGGAGAGATGGAGATGGGTAAACTACAGGCCAATTGACGAGTTATGAACACGAGGTGGTATCTAGAAAGAAATAATAAAGGAAAGAAATTATTGGAGAGACGCGAATGGAGGTGAGAGGAAGAGCGCGACGTGGGTTAGTTGTAAAGGCGGGCCGGGGGGATTCAAACCGGGTCCGATATTGGAACGAAACCCGAGAGTCTTCCAGAGGAGCTCAAGGCAAAAAGTACTAAAAGCACACGACTTTCCAGAAGACGCTCGAATGGTAACAGGGGCACTCTGACCGTCACTTTGCCTAGCAAAAAAAATACAATCGCGGGGAGAGGGCCGAGATGGAGCTCGCCCGGGTCGGAAAACCCGCCCCACGATGGATGATGGGCCCCGCGGGAGACGTCCCATGACGCCCCATGACGCCTCTCGGCCCCCATGACAGCGAAAGAGAATGGGCAATTTTTCAATTCTTGCAGCTTCGAAAGCCGTGTCAGGTACAAGTACATTGACTTGATCAGGGGTGTGTGGAAGCTTTAGAAACGTCTTGGTTGGCCAGCCGTCTTACACTGAAAGCCAGGTACACTCCTCCCCCCGCTGACCCGGCTCAAACAAAAACTTGACGGAGCTCCTCCCTCCCGCGGGGTGCTCAAGCGCTAATTCTTCGAGCTGGCTAGCGTTCGCTTCAGTTGTCCGGTCCACTGTTCTTGGAGACGGGATGTTGGAGAATGGCCTAGAATGGTAATCCTCGCCGGCTCATTGTCCAGAGTAGCTGAGAGGAGGGCAACTTTATCCGTCCTCAACTACAAGCTCTACAACAGTTTCTCATGTCTCTGACGGAGTAAAGTTGCCTTGTCGAGAGAAAACATGAGTCGGAAGAGCATAGAGTCATGAGCGTATAGGTACGGGCCGGTCACCCCTCCTTATGGACTTCATGCGGGGCTTTATACGGCGATATGGCCGGTGTCCGGACTTCTCTCCGGCACCTGCGAATGCGAATGCACGCATTAGCTGCTCCTCTCCAACGAGGGCAGGGGCATTACAATTGACAACAGCTCATGGCCTGACTCGGCTCGACTTTACGGGAAAGAATTGGACCATCGTGGCCGAGTTTAAGCCGCTCCAAATGGCGCTTTCCGAAGCCGGGGGCGACTGCCCCTCCATCGTCAACTTTCACCCCGCGGGGGGTCTTGCCCCTCGTTGAATAAAACAAAAACACCATCCTCTGTCCACCCTGTAGCGTAACCTGACATTGTTACAAACTTCACAATGGCTGCTTCATTCTTCTCCCTTGAGGGTCAGACTGCTCTCGTCACTGGTGGCACCCGTGGCATTGGCCAGGCCGTAGCAATTGGTCTTGCCGAGGCTGGTGCCGATGTCATCCTGGTCCAGGTACGTCATCTCATGAGAACTCTGGGAGGGAGAGGTGTGGTGCTGACATGAGAATTGTAGCGGGATACCACTGTCAACTCTACAAAGGAGGCCATCGGGAAGCTAGGCCGAAAGGCCTTTATTTACACTGCCGATCTGTCGTCGCAAGAATCTGTTGCTGCGCTCGTGCCCAAGGTCCTTGCCGATGGACACCAGATTCGCATTCTGGTCAACTGCGCCGGTATTCAGCGACGACATCCTTGCGAGGAGTTTCCCGACAGCGACTTCAACGAGGTGAGTTCAAACAGCCCAGTTGCCCATTTAGGCAATACTGACAAACCCAGGTCATCCAAGTAAACCTCAACTCCGTCTTCACCCTCTGCCGAGACGTTGGAGCCCACATGCTCAACCTCGAGCCCTCCCCCGTCACCGGCCGCCGCGGCAGCATCATCAACTTTGCCTCGCTGCTCACCTTCCAGGGCGGCTTCACCGTCCCCGCCTACGCCGCTTCCAAGGGCGCCGTGGGCCAGATCACAAAGAGCTTCGCCAACGAGTGGACGTCCAAGGGCATCACGGTCAACGCCATCGCCCCCGGCTACATCGCCACAGACATGAACGAGGCTCTGCTGGCGAACCCTGAGCGCCTGGCTAGCATCACCTCGCGCATTCCTGCCGGCAACTGGGGTTCCCCGGAGGACTTCAAGGGTACGTCGGTGTATCTGGCTAGCAAGGCCAGTGGCTACGTGAGCGGCCACATCTTGGTTGTGGATGGTGGTTGGATGGGCCGGTAAAATGTATAGCACGGTGGATGAATACCCAGGATGAAACGAGTATGAATAGAGCATAATAACTTGACCCTAAAATTAAAAACAAGGTGCGTTGATCAATCTCAGAAAGACTGTGAAGTGCGCCTCTTGGGCAATTGTGACTCAGTTGGTCTGAGGCCAGATCATGACGGCATTAGGAGAGGACCGGATCTGGCCCCAGACGCGTCTGAAAACCTCGGAAGGGAAGAATCAACATCGACTTACACCAAGTACCTATCCCTACGACTTGCGGATGCTGGCTAGGAATTTGTGGTCTCAGGGACCAAGACAAAACTAGACGCGGGGAGGACAGAGGGAGGGTCAGCCCCGGATCTCGAAGCAAACATGGGGTTCTAGATGACCCCAAGGTCAGGGCGCGAGCTGAGCTGAACTGATAAGCAGAAGCCGAGAGGCGTCTTGGTTCCTAGTTTTTGCGCTCAAGTCATTGATTGTTTGTTGGGCTAATCATCCCTGTCAGTTCTCCTGTGTCCCGGAACAAGTGCCGCGATCCGTGAAGCTGCATTCGCCATGGCCGTAGCATCTCAATAATCGTGATGATATGCGGAAGCTGTCCCTATCTGTCTTTTCCATGTAAACAACTCATGTCAATTTGAGTCGTGAATGTTTTTTTCTCTGGCATGGACAGTCTTGTAAAGAAATTGTCGTGTTTGAGACATCCAGGAACACCCGAGATTGCCGGATCATCCAAAGGGTACCTGAAATAGCTCCAACTCCCAAATGAAGCCAAGACCAGAACAAACTCTAACGAGGCCGTTGCAACAGCCTCACAGACGCCAAATTCTCCTTGAAGCTGAGATGCAATGATTTTTGAAGAGATAAAAAGACCGTGCGACTGAAGCCATATAATTTACTCCAGGAGGAGGCTTTTTGTAAGGTACCTACCTAAGCCTTTGCATAAAGACATGGCGCCCTTTTTGCTGGCAATCACATGCAAATTTGTTTCACATCTCGTCATCTCTTCCCGTCTGAGGCTTTGCTTCGAGAGTTATCCTTGTTATTATCCCCATGCCCCATGCCACACTCCCAACGACATGCCATGGCCATCCGCCCTTTGCCACGTTCTTATCAACATTCCAGCCGTGTCATTGGTGTTGAGTGCGGCAAGGCGGCCACCGTCGTTACAATGTTCTCCTGGCTACTTCGGAGCTTCTCTAAAGCCTCCCCTTGGATCTGTGCCCTCTCTCTCTCTTCAGAACTCGGACCCTTGAATGCCAGCCTCTTTAATGAGCTTTTGAGACCTAAATAATAGTCTCCGACGTTTACTAGAGTCCAGTTTCCACTCTTGCTCCATGCTCTCTCCGAAAGAGCCTCGATTCTCATCACCATGGACAGCCAGAGCATCATGTCCGACGCCGAGGCTGTACCTCCACCGCAGCCGGGCCGCACCCTGCTGCCCTCGCCTGTTGCTCAAGCTGTCAGTCTCGCAACGCGTTCGACATGCTTAGCCATTCGACTCAGTTCGACAGCTGGCTCTTACGGCCTCGGTGCCGCAAAGGTCACTACCCTATCCTCCCTGGAACTCGCTCGCAGCATGGTCGAAACCGTTCTGGGCCGTGCTGGAAGAGAAACCCTCGCGCGATCCCAAAGCGACTTGGCTGCTGCTGAAGCTGAGTCCATCATTGAAAAAAGTCTCGAGAGCCTCCACCATGCCATGTCACAGGCCGTCTTCTGGACGAGTGCTGGCTTCCACTTGACAAGCACAACATTTTCCATGGCTTCGGGGGTCTCGCAACTAATCTTGTCATCACTTGATCAACTGTTTGGGTCTACTGATTCATCTCGAGCCATCGCCAGCATCATCACCTTGATTCGACGCGAGTTCACAGACACCTCTATTGGAGTTGAAGGAGAGACCGTTGGTGTCATGGACCTTGTCCTTGGCTTGTGCGCATTGGCATACCTACAAAGATGGTGCTGGAAGATGATTGACGAGGATAAGCGTCGGCAAGAGTGTGAAGAGGTCATTTGGGATGTTGTTGTCTTGAATGACGGCGAAAGGATCGATATCCAAGATCGTGCCCCTCGAAGCCCCCTCCACACAAAACCCACGACGCCGCCTTCACGAGGTAACAGTCCTAGCATGTTGCGAAGGGAGGTGGTAGAGGTGTCCCAATCAGCCCCGGCCGACGACGAGGAGGCAGTAGTATGCCGACTCAAGGATGAAATGGTGAAATTACTGCCTGCCGACACTTCCGTCACCATTTCGAACTCCGTCACTTCAACACAGACAATCACAATCGATGTCAATGGGTCCAACCCCTTTCCCCTACCCACACTGCCGGGCGCAGAGATCGTCGAGATGAATGCACCACGGCCTCAAGGGGGCAGTCGCCTCAGCCAACTATCTGATGGGCCTGCTGAAGCCTCAAGTTACCGCGTCGTCTACAAGCTTGAAAGGTCTAGGACTGGAGACACCTCGTTCAAGAGCTGTGAAGAGCCTCCAAGCTCTCCACCCGTAATCGAGTTACCGGATGAGACCCCTCAAGAAGAAGTGCCACCAAACCCACCACCAAAGCCGGCCAAGAAGCCAAGGTCACCTGGGACCAAGTCGCCCCCGCCACGATGCTCAAGGGTCGCCAAGACACTCAATGAACAATCGTCTCGAAGTTCCTCACAAGCAACTGTGAGACCTCGAAGCACCGTCCCGGCTAGAGATGAAAAGGGAAGACTATCACGGGCGAATTCGCCTGCTACGCCGCCAACTTCGCCAACAGAACCCCAGAAACCCTCTAGTTCGAAACGCGAAGCAAACCAGAAGAGGCCCCGGGCACCCATCAATGCAAGCAACACCCGCAATAAAACCAACGGTTCCCGAGAGACCCTTGCAACATCCAGGAAAGTCCTGCCCAAGAGGAAGTCTGACTCGTCGACCAGTAGTAGCCAGACATCAGAGAAGAAAAGTGGTCTAAGACAAGTCCTTCGAGAAGGAAGTCAATCATTCTCCAACATTTGGCACAAGGACACCCCTTCAAACGATAGCAAGCCAAGGCCTCGATCACGAGCATCGACTGTCACTAAGCCCAACAACATCAAGTCAATCACCAGCCCTCCCTCCTCGGTAGAGCAGCGGCGCATTGAAAAGGCAGAGATGATCCCGCGGAACTCTTCTCGTGCGAGTTATGTCTCCGTCCACGAGCGTCGACGTGACTCCATGATTTCTCAGACAGACACATACTCCATCCAATCAACCAACCCAGGTTCAAACCATTCGCCCAGTGTATCTGTGAGTGGGATTACGTTTGACTCTTCCTGGGCAAAGAGTTCCCAGCAGGCCGGCCTCCTTGAGCCACCTCAGTTCAGTCACCATCGGGTGCTTCGGAAAGCTCCAAGCCTATACAGTCTGGCCTCGAATGACTCTCAGTCCTCTTTGGTTCTGTCTTACTACTACCAAAAGAGCGCGTACACGGCGACGGATGCGCTTGGTGGTCTCCGGCGTGATGGCATGGTTGATGGCACGTTTCCCCAGGCACATGTTCTTCGCAACATCACGAGATACATGCGGTTCTCATCTGCTTCTTATGGTTCTGCATTTTTGAAGTTTATGGGAATATCCAAAGAAATGCCTCTCCTGAGAGCTTGGGATAGCACTCACACAGATGTTCGACACTTTGTCCACCATACTGAGTCCGATACCCACAGCATCCTCCTGGCCTCGTTTGTCGACTCTCAGGGTGGAACAGACTCGAGCGGCTCAACCGGAACAGGTGTGCCCCTTGTGCACTACATCTCGTTGGATCACGACGCCAAGGCAGTCGTCCTTGCTTGTCGTGGAACCCTGGGGTTTGAGGATGTCTTGGCTGACATGACCTGTGATTACGATGTCCTCACTTGGCGTGGACGAGGTCACAAGGTACACAAAGGTGTCCATGCTTCCGCTCGCCGCTTGCTATATGGAGGGGACAGACGTGTTTTGCTTACACTTCGGGAGGCATTGCTCGAGTTCCCAGATTATGGGCTTGTGCTTTGCGGGCACTCGCTTGGAGGCGCAGTAACAGCACTGCTTGGAGTTATGCTTTCGGAACCAAATCCCTCTGGCACTGGCTTTATCACTGCTACTGATGCCCCTGACAGATCAGTTGGTGATCAAAAGTCCGATGGCCTTCTCCCCATTCACTCTACTTTACCACCAAGGCGTCCGATTCATGTCTACGCATATGGACCCCCTGGCACAATGTCGGCATCCCTCCGCAAACGCACCCGTGGCCTCATCACTACTATAGTCCATGGAAATGACATTGTGCCTTATCTGTCGTTGGGTGCGCTACACGACTTCCAGGCGGTTGCACTTGCTTTCAAGAATGACCAGCAACAGGCCAAGGCCGAGATTCGTCAGCGAATATGGCAGTCCTTCCAAACAGGTATAGCAGACAAGTGGTATGGTGGGCTGCCTTCGGTTCCCTCGGGGGATACGTCTAAATGGGGGTATTCTGTCTTGCAAGGCCTGAGAGTAGGCATGACGAACCGAAAGCTAGTGCCACCAGGAGAGGTGTTCACTATCGAGAGCCAACGGGTTTTGAGACGCGATGCCTTCCTTCTTCTGGAGGAAGACAACATTGGCAAACCAGCGCAGAGGATTGTGCTCAAGTACGTCAAGGACGTCGAGGCACGTTTCAGGGAGATGAGGTTTGGGACGAGTATGTTGGTTGATCACAACCCAGCCAAGTATGAGGAGGCTTTGAACAAGCTTCGTCTTGGAATTGCAGAGTAACATTGATGACTGATACCCAGGGGAGTATAGCCAGGATGGCCAAGTATTTCCCTTGATCGGAGATGTACAATAGTGTCGGTTTGGATAATCTATAACGAAGGATGACTGGGTTAAAATAGGAATGGCTCATTACATTTTATCGCATTGACTACACATTTTCTCTCATACATAAAGCATCCAAATATTGACTTAGTCCGCCGTCGTGGTAATTATCTTGCCCTCATCATCATAAAAGATCTCCTTCACCTTGACAGACCGAAGGTGATCCACGCCCTTGCTCAGTTCACAGTCGTGATGAAACAAATAGGTCTTGCCCTTGAACTCGACAATCGAATGGTGCGTCGTCCATCCCAGAACAGGCTCCAGGATACGCCCACCATAGGTGAAGGGTCCGAGGGGGGACTTGCCCGTCGCGTAGCAGAGGAAGTGGGTGTCACCGGTAGAGTAGGAGAAGTAGTAAGTGTCACCTCTCTTGTGCACCCACGCAGCCTCAAAGAAGCGACGGTCGTGGTCATCGCCTAGAATCGGCTTACCCGTCTCTGGTGCGAGGATGGTGATCTCTTGAACCTCGCCTTCAAACTGGTACATGTCTTCGGTGAGCTTGCCGACCCTAGGTCCCTGGGCGATCACCCCTTCACCGCTGACTTCCTTAGGGCCTTGCCATTCTGGGTCAAAGATGTCGTTGCCCTTTTGGTAGCACTGGAGCTGTCCGCCCCAGAGACCGCCGAAGTAGAGGTACGCCTGACCGTCATCGTCGACAAAGGACGCTGGGTCGATGCTGTAACTCCCCTTGATGGGTTCAGGATCCGGCGTGAATGGGCCTTCTGGCTTATCCCCGACAGCAACGCCGAGACGGAAGATGCCCTTCTTGTCTCTGGCGGGGAAGTACAGGTAATACTTGCCGTTCTTCTCGGCGGCGTCTGGGGCCCAGAGTTGCTTGGAGACCCAGGGGACGTCCTCCATCTTCAGGACCACACCGTGGTCGGTGACCTCACCGGGTGGTGAGAGGCTGTCAGTGCTGAAAACATGGTAATCAGCCATGTCGTACTGGTCACCATTGTCGTTGAACTTGATGTCTGTCTCGCGGTCGTGCGAGGGGTAGATGTAGACCTTGCCATTGAAGACGTGGGCCGAGGGATCGGCGGTATAAATGTTTGTAATGAGGGGCGCCATGTTGACAAGTTTGAGAAGAAGGCGTGTATAAACAAGAGTTTGATGTGTTTTGGTATAAGTCGTGCAATGTGAAGCTTGGGAAGTGGCTCAATATATGATGTGAAACCCCGCGTATAATTGCAAGGTCCATGTGAAGCTCTACCCCAGACAAACCATGCAATTTATCCAGAAGTACCCCCCATTTTACCCGCTTCTTCCTCTGAGCCGCCTAATAGTAGTGCAGGCAAGTTGTCTTGGGACCTTTCAAGGTGGGTTCATGTGGTCGGGATGCCGGCTCGGTAATCCGGTGGGCGGGGTTCACGGCGCGGAGTCGAGATTCGGCGACGACACCGCGTTAGAGCTGTAACACCCGAGTGGACAGTTCATATCATATCCGTTGTTGAAAGACGACTTTTCGAAAAAGACAGCTGTGGCGGTGGGGAGGCCAAGACTCACAAGACCTCGATGCCGGTATTTCTCCAGGGTAAATAGCCTTGTCGGCTGTGACATCTGGTGACATCCATGATGGCCAGCCTTGGACTTGAGGTGTGCTTGTCCCATGTGACGGTTTCGTGTGATGGTGTAGACGAGAGCCTCGAATATCGTCATGCTTTTGGGTCTTTCAATGGGTCGGCTGGTAGGCGACAGGATGGTTCGTGCAAATCTGATCCACGAGGCATTAATGTGCGACGATGAGACGCCTGTTTTTCCCTGCAGGGCAAGCCACAGAGCGCCCAGAGCCTTATGTCTTGTTGATGCTGTAGTTTGACTTCTCATGGATCTAGAAGTCTTGGATGCCCGTCTCACCCCGTCTTCGTTGTTGGTCTGTTCCCGACGCCTCCTCGTCAACCCAGCTCGGCTCTTCATCATCGAACCAGGCATCTTGGGCGTCCCGCCTGATCATAGTGTCGAGGTCTTCATCCTCATCGATGGGGCGATAATCAATGTCTTCGTCGAGACCATGGACGAATCGCTCTTCCAGAAATGCATGCCACAGCTGCAGGCCGTGAGCCTTGTCGGTCGCTGGCTTTTCCCACGGATGCTCGAGGTCACCGTCAGAGTTCTCCATGCCGTTCGGCGTGCGCCCTGACCCATTTGACTCTTTCAAATTGGAGAGCTTGGACTCTCCACGTTGTAGGTCAGCCTCGAGGGTCCTGCCATAGCCCTTCACTTTGCCCTCGGCTTCACGCTCCTCGGCTGTCTGAAACCGCTTCACTAGGCGTTCATAGAGGACGGGATCTGGCCATTTGTTAGCTTTCAAGTTTGGCCAGGCGGATTGAATAAAAATACCTGCTAGTTCATGCTCTATACTCTCAAAGTAGGATGGGTGTCGTGCCAAATGCTCACGCCGCCGATTCTGCGCCTGGATTTGCGCAAGCCGCCTTGGCGATTTGGGTCGACGCGGAATTGGCTTGTCGAGCGTCTCCTCGCTTTGAGGCAGTATCGGATGAAGGATCGGTGCCATTGAAATGATTAATGGGCGTGGACTGAAACGATTGATGAAGGGTGACAGTTGGATATCCTGGCCTCTGGTAATTCATGATTGGACATGTTGAGTGTACAAAAAGGTTGGGGGATGCTTCATAAGCTGACATAATTATAGGTACGCTCTTCTCATAAGCATGGTCATAAATCATCAAATATTTATGTCAGCTACCTAAAGTGGGCGCTCTTTTTTGTGAGCCAGTGTCTGCACAGTGGAGATCCCCCGCCAAAGCTTGATTTCGTCACTCATCATGTTTCAATATTGCTTGATGATCTCTTCCCTTTGCCACTACCAATTTTGACATTGATTTCAACTCGATTAATCGCTGGCAGCATCATGTGCCTCTCCTGTGGATGCCCGAACGAGTGCTAGCATGCATGGTGCTAGAAAGGATGCTCACACCTTGCCAAAACCTATCACTTTCGCCCGCATTGGGGGCAACAACACTGACATGAAATCCAGGCAAACAACACAGCACACAACAAACGCGCAGGCGGTAGACGCGGTGGCATGTGAAGAGGCGCGCCGCTGTACATGTGAGATGTGACAGCCTGAGAAGGTGGATTCTTCAGAAGCCTCAGCTGAACAGACAGGATCAAACGCATCCCAATCCGATCGAAACGGGGCTCAAAAGACCCAAAGAACCGGGTCGCCGGGGTTCCGTTGTGAGGGATTGGGGCTTGATTGATCATCTTTGACAGTCCGGGTGAGGCGACAGAAAGAGCACGTCGACGACCCAACTTGGATGACCCCTGTCGGATGGAGACGCTCGGGAGGGCGTTGAATGGGCAGAATAGCCTTGGATGGATGCTGTGAGCTGTGCATTGTACAGCTCCAGGGCCGCGCTGGCTCGGCTTTAAATTACCACACCAGAAGCATGCGTGCGCAATCGCGGGCTATCGATGTTCGACAGCCCAAGCTGGACGAGGGGAGCATCACGGTGACCAACTTTTGGGCGACGCCGTATTTTCCCCCTCCTCATCTTCTTTTTTTTACATATCATCATCGCCATATTCCTTCTTCTCCCTCATTCCGGTTCCTAGACTCCTTTTTTGTTTACCGTCTATTTCTCTCCTTAATCATCATATGTGACATCAGCCTCATTTCTGATACCCTGTCCGAGGGACCTTGGTCATCGTCGATGTTGCGAAGCTACTGACCGGCTGGCCACGAACCCTGCGGCCTTCGTTCTTTTCATCTCTTCTTTCCTGTGTTCCGTTTCTCCCACGTCTTTCCTTTCGAGCGGATCTCTCGTCATCTGTGAGCAATTGGTATCCCCTCTTCCTTGTCTCACCCGCCCTGCCATACCACCTGGAGCTCCAGTTCCAGCTCCAGCTCCAGCTCCAGCTCCACGCCTCGGCCGTGTCCTGCCAGCTCAGCAGGCCCATGCCGTCCTGATGGGGGCTACCGACATTGCCTCGCGCCTCAGAGCCAAGTTCACAAAGCGAAGGCATTCGACTGCTGGCTCGCTGGCATCGTCAGCTCAGAGCTTCACCGACACAACATCGTCGCACGGCAGCCGCCCCTTCTGGGATCGGGATCGAGCTCGCCAGGGGTCTGGCGCTGAAGGAGACCGCTCCTCTCGTCGGGCTGTCAGCCATTCTCGAGGTACCGCGAGCACAAGGCGTGGAACGACATCAACGCCTGATGGCTCCCAACGACAAGATGATAGTGAAGAGGTTGAGGTTTGCCCACAAGGTTCAAATATAGCAAACTCAATCCCGGCTACGGACAGCTCCTCGGAGTCGGCGGTTCCACCGGCTCATGACCATTCCACAGCGCCAGACACTGCGACCGGTTCAGTGCTGAAACAGCCGGCCTCGCCTGAAGACCACCAGAGCCTCGGCGGCTTGCCGCTTACAACCGTCGCTAGCTCCAGTGACCAGCCTCTGCCGAGAAACGATCTGCAAGGCTCCTCACACCCACCGCAACCTCGTCCGCCGCGTTTGACTTCCCCTTCGTCCAAGCCATTAGATTCTTCGACGCCCTCATCATCGCCATCTCGACCGCGTCAGGCCAGCTCGAACCTCGGCCGCATCCACGAAGACGCAACCTCCGCGTCACCAGTGTCTCCAACGGCCCACCCAAAGTCGGTCCCTGACCTTGACTTGGACACTGGTCCTGAAGCTGCCCGACACCATGACGACGAGCCGTTGAGTCCCGATCAAGCCGCCGCACCCTCCTCTCCCAAGTCCGCTGCCTTTGTGCCCCTGACACCGGCGCTACCTTCGGCTTTTGCCCTGTCCCCTGGGCTCCCCCCGACCGCGGCTCCGTCGATACCGGGTTCGCCAGCACCACGGCCTGCCCCGCCGCCGCGACGACAGAGCTTGCTGTCCAACCGTCAAACGACCTTGATCAAGAC